CCCAGTGCACGCAGCTCGTAAGGAAACCTTTTGCTAATGAACAAGCGAGACCCGAGTCAGAAAGGTGATGCTTAACCACAGCTTGTACATGTGAAGGACAAACACATCTAGTCACAACACACATCTTCAGCTGGAAAGAGCCTGGTCAAAGGTGGGGACTGCTCTGAAAAGTGCATTTTCAATTTTGTAGATGGTTGAAAGCATCTCGCAACTTTTCCTCTATAGCACAGGTGCTTTTCCAATCTGTTTGACAGCCCTGGAATGCAGAGCAGTGGCCTGAAGACAGGGACACGGTCCAGTTCAGTTAGGTTCTCCAGGACTCTCTGGAGCAAATTTTTCCACTGTTTTGACTTATAGCTTTGCAGTAGTAACTGCAAATTAAAATTTAAAAATTATTGAAGCAGGAATAGTTCCTTTCCAGGCAATTTGAAGTTAATTTGTAACCTGTGAATTTATTTATTCCAAATATTGTTTTGATTTTGCTAATTTCTGTTACAGCCCAGGTCAGAAGGCTGAGAGGCAAACCCTTCCTGGTTGCTCAGGTTGGTTTCTCCTTCTTTCCATTTTTCCAGGGTTTGTTGATGACATCATCCAGCCTTCCACCACTCGCAGGCGCATCTGCCACGACTTGGACGTGCTGGCCAGTAAATCCCAGGCCAGTCCCTGGAAGAAACATGCCAATATCCCACTGTGAGAGTGAGGAAGGGCTGGCCCTGCTGGGAGCCTTGGCACTCTCTTGTTAATGGAGGTCTGCTTGGCAATGGAAATATTTGCGTTTGATTTGGCTGATAATCATCAATAAATCATAGTATATATTTAATTTAATTCTGAGGTCTGACCAGTTCACCTCTCTAAACCCTTTTGGTGTTTAATAATCAACAGCCCCTGCCATGCGTGCTGCAGATGAACTGTTACTAATTGCTCAAGGTCAAACATTCCCTTGGCTCCCTCATTCCGTAGGCCCTGAGGTGGCTCAGGCAGTGCTGAGTGACAAGCTGGGCCCCTGTGCATTCAAGTGTAGTTCCACATGCATCTTTGGAGTCTGACTCCACCTGCCTGCACCAGAAACTAAGAGAGGGGAATCTTGAGCTTGGCTTGCAGGATCCCAGACTAACCTGTTGTGTTCCTCTGCCAGACTGTCCAAGGGGCAGCTTTTCCAGGCCGGCTCTCAGGTGGGTCTCAGAGCTGCAGGCTGGGGCACAGGTGGGAGGTACAGAGAAGGTGCAGCCAGTCCCCTCCTGAAGGGCAAGCAACAACAAAGGGCAGTTCTGGTGGGACATGAAAATCCTTCTCCCTCAGCACAGGCTGGAACAGAGGCCTCATTCTTGTGTGATTACCTGCCAGACTTGCCGTGGGTGTTGGCTCAGCTCAGCCCTGGGCTCGCTCTGCTCAGCAGAAGCTGCATTTAACCCCCAGCCCCAAAGGCAGCGAGGAGCAGCCACTGTCACCCTTAGCCCTGCTGCTCCAGCTGCAGGCTCAGCAGGGCCTGGAGTGACCTCAGGGATGCACTGGGAGACACAGAACTGCCCTACCTGCACACGGAGCTGCTGCTGTTCACTCCCAGCACGGGCCTGAAGGAGCAGAGAGGCAGGATGGCCACTTCCCAGGGAGCATCTCTTCCCAGGTAAGTGCAGGGAGTACCAGCTGTGGAGCTTGGAGCCTGCATATGGGGGGGAAAAAGGCAACAACTAAAAACCACCTAAAAGCACATGTGGTTCCAAAGGAGCATTGCAGGCCTGAGTCCCAGCTCCACAGGTTTTTGGATGCCTTGGAGGCAGCACACTCAGGTTCCAGACACACTCTCTTGTCCTGGCTGCAGCACATTTAAGGAGCTGCACGAAGGTACCTGAGCACACAGGCTCTGCCTCAGGGAACAGAGCCAGCCCCACCACCAGGGGAAGGCCAGCTGAACTGCTCCTGTCCTGGGGCCATTGCCATGGTAGGAGGGCTCACTCACCTGTAAGAGCTCTCAGTTTTTGTAAGGGCTTGTAAGGCCCAGGAAGATTTTTTAGAGGCAAAGCTGAGAGAGGCTGGTGGCTGTGCCAGGTTTAGAGGCAGCAGCTGTGGGAAGGGAAGCAACACACACATAGCTCCTCCAGCCTGCCCAGGGTCAGGAGGAGACACTCAGTGAGAAACCCTGTGGTCTTGCACAGAGAGAAAAGTGCAGCTTGGTTAGTTGTTTCCTGACCTCACTGGTGCCACAGCCTCCATCCTCTCCAGTCCCCTGCCAGCACAGCAGTTTGGATTTGATCATTTCCAAGCAGTTGTTCTTCCAGCACAACGTGTTGGAAACGGGCTGGAAAGCTGCTCTGGCCAAGCTACCGCAGATCTTGAATTGCAGTCACCTACAAAAACAAGAGGCACAACATAAAATCCTTGCAGTAGTGAGCAGCCCTTGAACTGGGCACAAGGCACGTTACTTACTGTGCTCTTGGCAGCAGGAGCTGAGCATAACTTACAGGCATCTGGGCTGTGCCTTGGGAGCAGCTCAGACCTTGAATCTTATCCCTGTTCCTCACCTGCTGCATCTTGTTCCCTTTCCTGACTCAGGTGCCTTTCCTGAGGTAGTGGGTCAGGTGATAAATCAGTTTGCTGTGGTGCTACAGAGCTGAAATCACTCCTGGGTGGGACAGAAATAGCACCTTGCTCTCAGACATGGGAGTCAGGAATCAGTAAAATTCCATTGGGCCCAGCTGGTTGTTGCAACTTCCAAGCCTTTGCCACTGCAGCTTCTTCCCACGAGGTCCAGGTCACTTCAGATGTGCAGGGCAGGAGAGGTAAATTCTTCTCAAAATTCTTGACAGTTCAAGCAATTTTAACAGTGCAGCTTTCCCAGAGCTGTGGGGCCTTCCCAGATTTACAGAATCTCACAATAACCCCCCAGATCAACCAAAACCACACCATGGTGGAGGTGCGGAAAAGAAGCTCGGGGAGGGTTTTTCATCACTCTGAGGTTGAGTGGGTAAGGTGGTGGTTCAGGGCCAGGTTGTGAAGCCTGGACTACGTGAAAACTACCTGTCAGCACTTCCTTGACTAATTCCTTGAATTCCTACTAGTCAATGGGATGACAGGATGTGATGGTCCAAACAGGCATTTAAAAAAAGTTATAGTGAAGAGGGTGCTCATCATACTCATGATTTTGAATAGTTTATTAAATGAAAGGTGAAGCATCAGTTTTAAATTGTACAAAAGGAAAAAAAAAAACCTCATATTGTAAATGTACAATTTACAGAATTACTAGCAAAACCAATCAAGGAGACACTCATAATACAAAAAACCTATAGACTGCAAACTGAACTGGAGACCCATTGCAGGTACCGTGATCATCAATGTTTGTTATACAGTATTCTACAATGTTAAATTAGGAATCAGTTTTCCACACAGAGGACTGTGAAGCACAAGGTTTGTCTGAGAATGACTCAAACCAGGCAGCATCTGCTCTGCCCCGACGCTCACGGGGTGCTGGTGAGCTGGGGCTGCAGCCGCTGGTGCCTCGGGCACGGGGGGTGCCCGGGGGGGGCACAGCTCGGTGCTGCATTGGCAGGGCTGCATTGGCAGGGCTGCAATGCTATTCCTGCAGTGCCATTCCTGCAGTGCCAGTGCTGCTGGGCTTGATCCATCCCCACCCCCGGGGGGGAGCGGCTGCAGGGCCTTGGGCAAACATTTTTGGCAACTGTGTCTGAGAAGTGCCCACGCTGGGAGAGACGCCCCAGCCCTGGGCACTTGAGGGGTTGGGTTGGTTCCCAATAAGCTCCAAACAGAAAAAAGCTCTGTGATTATTCTGCAGTTGCTAAAAAATAAAAGCACCTCTGAAACTGCTGTGCTCCGAGTGGGTCTAGTTTGTATCTCAGCTGCTAATGGTGGAGTGCAGGAAGGAAGAGGAACGTTCTGGGGCCGGTTTTGTTGATCCTGGAGTTGTGGAAGGCCAGCTCTGCTGGTGCCAGGCCAGTCTAACTAAGGAGCAGCTACTAGGCAGAGTCATCAAATCGAAGCATAATGAAATTCCAAATTATTGAAGACATTGAAAAGAATCTCTTATTACAATGAATTAGCTGAGAATGTTTTGGGGTCTTTTTGATTTATTTTTTTTTTTAACGTTTTTAGCTTTTTTGAAAAATCATACTTTTTTTCCAAAGAATTACTCTCAATATGCACAGTTAACACTGAAAATGTAGCTGTAGTCCATTGTAAGCTTAAGAACTTCACCATCTAAGCACAAATTTCTATGCAGCACATACAGTACTTCTAACTGGCAAAATTAATTTACAAAAATAGCGGAAAAGGGTATTTACGGCATGGAAAGTAGACTTTGTTTTATGGTACAGGAAAATTACTTTTCATATGCTAAAGTGATCCTTTCCCCCACCCTTGGACTATTTTTTTTTTTAATAGGAAAGTTGCTGTTTATGTACCTTGGGTTGGCAGGCTTGAAGTAGGTAGTAAAAACAGCAAAGTGATTACTTGAGAACCATTTGTGTGTTTTACTGAGAATACTTTATTTGCTGGTATAAGTTGCTAAAAATGCACAGAGCAAGTACCAATAGAAAATTTACTGTTTTGTGTCCCCATGTGCTATATAAAATGAATGTTACACAGCATCTGTTGGAAAAGTGGCTTCATGGACATCTCTTACTTTATGTCCCATTATAAATAAAAATAAATCTTCTCAAGAGTATAAAATCTGGGTTTATCATATCAGAATCTGAAATTTTTTGGCAGAGATGCACGTCATTAGGATTCTACCCTCTTCTTTGAGAGTGCTCTTCTCCATGCCTGGGAGAGGACAGGAGCGTACCATAATGTGAATCAGATCCAGTGTGTTCAAAAACACTTCTCTGTAGCCAGAACGACCTGCTTACAGCATCCTTGCTAGTCAGTGGCTGATAGGCATAGGTTTAATAAAAATGGCTAGCTTTGAAAACATAAAAAGGCAAATGTTAAAACTGTTTTAAATTGTACAGCAGAAAAATAAAGTTAAAAAGTTCTGTTTTCACTCAATGTTGTTTTCAGAAAACATATGTAGAACAGTGTTTATTTCGACAGCTGTCTTAACAATTTAAAACTTCCTCCTCATCCAGAAAAAAAAAAAAAATCTGTATTAGGACAGTCAAGAACAGGGATACAAATGATTCTCTAGGTCAGCCCTTCTGAGGTGACTGGAGTGGCCAACATTCCCGGGTGTCACTGAGGAGCTCCTCTTCTCTCCGCCACCACAAAAAGGGGTTGACCTCGATCATTTGGTTAAAAATCAAACCGTATCACATCAAAAGTGTGGTTTCCATACAAGCTATCACAGTATATAGGCCTCTAGCTCTAAACAATAGAGTTCCAAGTTTGTAAAACGTCTTCCCAGACTTCAGAACATGGGCATGCCGAATCCCTGCGGAGGGAGGGAAAAGACAGCGTTACGTGGGGCGGGGCGGGGGACAGGGCTGGGGGGGCACAGCACACAAGGCCTTACTGAGTCATCCTCGATGATGGCGGCAGAGTCGAAGAAGTCCGGCCGCAGCTCGGCGCGCTCCCGCCGGTTCCGCGACGGCGGCTGCAAAAGGAGGGACAGCTGCCAGGGCACCCTCCCTGCCAGGGAGCGCCCACACCCAGGGGCCTGGCCCGGGCTGCGTGCCCCGGAGTCTGTTTCCACGCTATCTCTGTGCCCATCGTCAAGGACTTGCCTAAGGATTTGCTGACTTAAGGACGTTCCTGTGTTGGCTGCACTGAAATTCTCTTAACTGTCTCGACGCTTTTCAGTTTATGGTGGAACTTGAGCTCTGACACGGTCAAGAAAGGATTTAGAACAAAAAAGGTCCTGATGATAAGATACTGTAATATTTATGATCAAACCCTTGGTGGTTTCCTTTTCCAGGAGCACAAGAGTAAATGTGAGCTGCCCTGGCTTGATCAGTTCCTTCCCTTCCTTGCCTTGGCTGTTACTTGGCAATCCCATGAATGCTGGCAGTAACCTCAGTGTTCAGCAGCTGCAAATGAATCAGTACCTAAATTCTCTCTCCAAGGCATTACAGCCCAGTCCTACCTAAAGTAACCTCTGCCTTACTGTGCAGATACAAAAGGAGAAACAGGAAGGCTTAAACATGGTGAAGTGTGAAATGCAAACTGCTCCCTTCTCCCATTTCCCAAGGAAGCCCTCATTCCAAAGGGGGAGGCCAGGGAGGTTCCAAGTGCTGCAAAGGAACTCCTGCCTGGAGCCACTGCAGCACCTGAAAGGACCTGAGGCTGCCAGTGATGACAGGACCTGTCTGGGAGCAGTTCCAGTGTAAGGAACTCTAGGGAGCATTGGGAGCACTGCAGCTCTTTGACACTCAGGCAACTGGAAATCAGGCTCAAAACTTTGGAAATTTTTGTTGGCACATCTAAAATTGCTTTTAAATTGTCTTTCAACCTTTTAAAACTTGCCATTAGTGAGATTTACTGACCAGATCAATGACCATCGTGTCCTCGAACTCCTCGTTCATGTCCTCTAGCTGACCTCGTGAGGACATCATGACATCTTCAAAGATGGGCTCCGCGTCGTCCTCCATTAGACCTCGTCTGAGCAAACAAAGACAAAGTCATCTCCAGGTACTTAAACCACCCAGCCATCATCTTTGTCATTAAAAGTCTACCCTTTAATGCCTTCCCCCAAACCCTATTCTGAGTAAAGCCACACTCTCTAATATGAGTGGGAGGAAAACTGTCTGTAAAACCCAGCCCAGCACTGGCAGAGGCTGAAGCAGCAAGTCCCATGGAACTGCACTATAAACAGGAATCAAATTTGCCCTCGACAAGGGCAGGGCAATAACCTGTGTTTGCTTGCCCTTTTCCAAGAAGGAGCGACACTGGATCACAGTAAATCCCTGGGAATCCAGCAGTGAATCCAGGCCCAGTTTCTAAGACTGTAAAGATTCCTAAGGGACTGGGTGGGATCAGCACCAGAGCATGTGGTGCTTCCGTGTTCACCACGTGTGTTCCTCCATCCCTGCTCAGGGGGACACCTCGGCTGGAGATGCTGTGCAGGACACAGAGCAGCTCAGGGGAAGCAGGAATCGCTGCCAGTGACAGGCAGGGGCCCGTTTCGGCCCTGCTGTCCCATCCAGGCTCTGACAGAGGGACACTGGGAGCACTTACACTGCGTGCCTTACTCCAGTCCTGCCTTTCATGTAGTTCATTCCTGTCCTGTCCTTCCGATTGAGATCCTCCAGCTTCTGCTGGCCCAGCCACGAGATCTGCATCTGGGGACTGACATGGGACAGCATCAGGACAGTGACACTTCTGAGCTGGCTATTCACAGACAGCATCTATCTCCAAGTTCTGTGTCTGGCCATGCTTCAGATCAGGGTAATTAAATCACATTCACCACTGTACATGTCTTCTGGATTCCCTTCCACAACTCAGCTCCTCTCACTGTTCATGCACAAAAAAATCCATTAATAAAACCAGGTATGGGAAACACTGACATTGCTCCTTCATTGGGAACAGGCACCTGGAGTGGGAGCACTTCTACAGTTTATTATTAAATCCTTCACTCTCTCAGATCAGGCAAAATATGAGCAAGCCTAGAGCCAAATGAATAATGGACACAGGCTTTAAAATGTCCCGCAGCATGTAAACCAGATTGTTTTTACACACAGACCCTGATCAGCATCACCTTGAGGGCCAGTCCCTCACCCCCATGGAAATACCTGCCAGGCTGCACCAACAATGCCCCCCGAGCCCAGCAGAGCCAGCAGTGCCTCTGGGGGGATTTATGTGTGCCCAGCACAAGGAACAGCAGCAAAGCCAGTGCAACCCTTCCAGAGCAACACCAGGTTGTGTTTCACGATGCCTCTTGTAGGACTGACAGGATAAACTGGGATAAGCCATGGAAAAACAGTCGAGACCCAGGCATTCCTCTGGCCAGGATTAACCCCTAAGTTCAGCAAGAGAACCTCAACTGAGGCAGGGGGAGAGAAAAGAACAGCCACAGGTCTTCAGAAGCACTTCAACCAAGCCTGGGGACACAAACACTGGGAGGATTTAACCACGGCTGCATGATGAAGCTATGAGATAATATTGGCATAAGACATTTCCGCTATTATTTCATTGCAACAAAGTCTTCCTGGGACCTGAAGAGAATGGAAGTCTTGCTGAGCTATAGCCAGGGCATGTCCAGGTGGTTTTGCAAAGAAAACTGCACGCACGGGGCCACAGGCTAAGACTATTGTGTAAGTCATTAGCCACTCCTTTGCCTGGGTCCCTGTATTCAATCCTGCAATTCCAGCACTTACTTGTGTAAAAAGTCCTGTTCAGATCCCTGCTCCGACTCGTGCTCCTGGATCTGCTCCCCCATTTGCCTGGTGTTCTCCCTCAGGACAGTGGAGGTGAGCTGTGGCGCCTGCAGTGCCCCCGGAGTGTGGATGTTCTCGTTCCTGCTCAGCCAGGAGCCTTCCAGGCTTTCATCTGGAGACAACACTGAAATCACTGCTGCACTTCTGGTAACTGCAGGGCAGCATTAGTCAGGTGTGCACTGAGGGATCAGCTGGGGAAATGCTTGGAATGGGAAGGTTTTCAGCTCTAATTTTATATTCTGTTCTTCTAAGTATGTAAGTTATTCCCAGCAATAACAGCAGTTTAAAATTGAAATACTGAACAAACACAGAAATTATTGCAAACAAAACCTCCATTGCTGGGCATCCTGCACCCATCTAACTAATTCCCAATCCCTGAGTTTACAGTCTCAGCATAAGATTGGTAATATGTGTACAGCAACCAAGAGAAAGGCAAACACCAAGAGGAGGGTGGAGCACAAACCCCAAAATGGTCAGCCCAGACCCTTAGAGATATCAGTCAGAACATCCGAGGTGGGCACAGAGGGGGCACTTGGCACAGGGATTAACATCTCAAGGGGACTGCAGGTCCAGCTGGGATGTTGTGCTGGGATTGGGAAGGGAACAAAGCAGAGAGGAGGGAACAGGGGGGACTTGAGGAGAGTGGGACAGAGCAGGCAAGTGCACCAGACACATGGAGAAAGACAGGAAGTTGCTGGAGCAACGCAAGTTACAGGGGAGATGAGAACAGAGATGGCAGGATAACAGATTTCCTGACAGGAGGTGTGGTGAGAAAGGAGATGGGGATCTCCATGGACCTGTCCATTCTTCCTATGCCTTTTACTACCCTTTGGGGTTGTCAAAAAAGCTGCCTGTTTTTTCTTGAATTTACCTTTGAATCTCTTTTATTTTAGGGATAAAAAAAAAAAAATCCTATTGATTTCCTCAAGGCACCAGGAAGAAATGTCCCAGAGTACGTTGCTCTCAGGAGCAACAGGGAATGTCCTCAAGCCCAGCCTGCTGAACCCTGAATGTCCTGCACTTAAGGCACAAAGGAACCAGAGGGGACTGGATGTGGTTCTTTGGTGCCAGGATAGTTTCTGTAGAGACCTTGCTCTTATTTTAGATCCTTTAGAGAGAAAAAGAAAATAAGAAAAAGGAGTTACTCAAACGCAAAGTGTTGGAAATCGATTGTCCCATCTATTGATCACTGAAAAGGGGACACAAGAGCACAAAAGAGGCAAACAATGCCTAAAAACTATGTCAGAAGGCTGAGATTTGCCTTACAGGGAAGCAAAGGTGCTACTGCACTTCCCAGGGGAAAAGAGGGATATTGGCAAAATACAGTAAAATAGAATGAAAATGGTATCGAGAGAAAAGAAAGAAACCTCAGCAGTTGAATTGTGTGAAAATCTTGGCATCTTGAGGGAAGGGAAGCAGTGTCTGAGGGAAGGAAGTCTTGCTTTTTGTTTCCCTACACTCCAGGTTGGCTGTGAGGAATAGGAGCTGGTGCAGGACTGAACACAGACTGCAGGGACCTGGCTGTGCAAGTGCTCAGGGACACACTTCTGAGGAGTATTTTGGGAAATTGCTGTATATTCAGGCAAACTGGCTTTAGATTCCTCACTGAGGAGTTACTATCATAGACACTGACCCTGAACCCCCCCTGAAGTTTAAAGATCTCATTTACATCTACTCTGTAGTGGAACAGTAAATTATATTCACAAAAGTGCACGCAGGTGGACCAGGAACAGGTGCAGCCTTGTAAGAAATCTGCTGTCCCAGCCAACTTCCTGATGGACATGCCTGAAGTCTCAGAAAGAGTAAATGCAGACACTGGGTATCAACAGCTATTAACACATATCAACACATATTAACAAAAAGGGTGTGTTTTTTACTGTTCTCCAGTGGTCCTGCAAAACCAGAGACCTACAGGAGAATTTCTGCCTGAGGTTTCTGCAGCTCCCTGTGAATGAGCAGTGGTCCCAAAGGGGAGCACAGGTACACCACCTGCAGTCCAGGAGTGAGGAGGGAGCAGTGCAGGTCAATTCTGGAGCAGACAAACAAGAACATTTCCCATAAGGACACGTTCAAGCCCAACAGAACTTGCAGAACTTGCAGAGCAGATGCCTTGGTTCTGCTCCATAGAGAAAATATCCTGTATTTCTGCCTTAGCTAACAAAGCCCCAGGGCTCCTGAGGGGGAGAGCAGTGACACAGGCACAGAGTGACACACACACACATGTGGAGACACCCAGACAAACCTTCCACTCTCTTTTTGTGGAGGGGGGGTCGGCCCTTCTTGTTCCTCACGGAGGAGGCTTTGCTGCTGCTGCTGCCGCTGTTCACTGACATCCTGTCATCCTCCCCGCCCGTCACCAGTGAGTTCCTGTAGGAGATCAGGGGCAGCCACACGTCCTCCCTCCTCTCCATCATCTGCTCCGTCAGGAACTTCTCCAGGTAGGTGTGACTGCAAACACAAGACAAGGAACTGGGGGTAACCTGGGCACTGTGCCAGCACACAGACTGCACTGCAGCCACTCCTGCAGGGTGTCCTCTGGCAGCTCGGGGCAAGGAAATCGGTTCCTTCAAATGCAAGAGGTTATTTTTCCACAGAATGTCTGAAAATCTGGGCCACTGCCAGGAGAAGTCCAGTGCACCCGTGTTAACTGCAGGGAAGAACCAAACTCCCCCCCCTGGGCTGGGGGACACACAAGTTGTTTTCTTTGTCCAGGGGTTATTTAATGATGGTATTGGAAGTAATCCCTAAAATGAACATGCAAAGGTCCACAGAAGTGACTCTACCGAATTTCAGGCTGCAGAGGCAAACATTCAGGAGCTGGTAAAGGAACTCAGGTACTGCAGCATCACTGCCTGCACCCTTCAGTCACCACTGCCTCTAAAACCACCTTGCCATGCTGGCAGCAGTGGAATCACCCCCACACATTCCACAGCATATGCAAGATTTTCTTCTGGTAGCTCATGGCAGCTTGGAGTTGTTCCACAGTCCTGCTGAGAAGAGGACAAGGAGCCACACTGGATATGCCTGTCAACAATCACAGTTTTCATGGGATTCTGCTCCGATTCAGTGAACGGGATGGATGACTTTGCTCAAGAAACAGCAGGTTCCTGTTCATTGTTTTATTCAATATTGTGAACACTTCTTCCTTCCCCTTTTGTGTGTTCACTGAGTGACCCCCAAACCTGGCACTAATGGCAGTTTCTTGGTTTATTGTCTTTACAGAACCAAACAGTACAATTTGAGTGCTTCATGGCTGTAGAGAATCCACCTCAAGGTGCCTTGGAAAGTGGGAAGTTTTTTTCTGCCTCCATTTCTATTCACAGAACTCCAGTGTGTGGTCAGAGCCAAACTGTGAGGGAGGAAAATGACACCACTTGGGGTCCTTTACTGCCCAGATGCCAAACCTGAGACACCCCTTGTGCTCAGCATTTTGGAGGAGCTACACACTGGCAGTTCTTATCAGCTTCAACAAAGGCAGAAACTCTGAATTTCCAGGAGTAACAGCACCAATACTGAGGCTCCACCTCATCTGACACCCACCAGTTGGTGTCTGGTCTAAGCCAACAGTCTCTTTGAAAGAAATAAACAGAAATAAATACCTCCAAGGACAATCACCTCTCTTCTGTCCTACACTAAATCCTCAGGACTTCCCTCTCTGTATCTGCCATGTGGATTTTAGTATAAAACATCAGTAAATAGTTGACTATTATATAAATATATAAATACAAACATTTAGTATAAAGCATTAGGATACATTTTTTTTTCCCCAGCTGTATGAGTCTGGCACCTTAAGTGTAGAGTTTTATATGAAATCCACAGATGTGAATGGATCCCTAAAGGGCTATCCCAAATTCTGGAGGTCGCTCAGAAAATGAGAAGCCAAATAAATAAACAAACACGACAGGAAAACTAAAACAACCCAACGTTGTTGCTTCATTCCCAAACTCTCTTTCTTGCCCCAGATAAAACCCCAGCAGCAAAGAGGAGGGAAGAGGAGCCCTGTGGAAGAGGGCTGTGCTGCACTGGCAGGAAGGCTGTTCTGGCCCAGGGCAGGTGTGCTGGGCAGCTAATTTGAGTTTGGAGGCAGGGAATTAACCCTTCAGTCCCATTCCAAGCTGCAGAACTTCTGGCCCAGGCAGCCACACGCTTCTGGATCTGTGAGGGTTGTTCCTGAGGCTCCTGAGGAAGAGCTGGGGAGGGTCCCTGGGCAGAGGGGAGGGAAGGGATCCCGCACACGGGACTCCTCCAGCAGAGGGGGGTCACGGACCTGCCCCAGGCAGCCCCTGGGGAGGGGACAGGTCCCTGTGCACTGCACGAGCTGCAGAGAAGGGCAGATCAACCATCCCAGCCCAGCTGAGCCTCCTGGCAGAGGAGAACCCTGCACAGTCAGGGCAGCAGTGGAGGCAGCTCCAAGGAAATGTGAACACACAGAGAGCTACGCTGACTGTGCTCAGTCACCCCAGCCAGGGGCACCCAGGGCATGTCTCAGCTCATCCTGAAGCAGCGGTTTAGCACAGAGCAGGTCAGTCATGCCCTGGGGGACCTATTTCTTTTCCCTGATCTTCTGACTCAGCTGAGGTCAACAGCTCACAGATGACTACAGATGACTACAGTAAAGGCAGACACAACGGGGAGCAATGGGTTCCAGCCCAGTCCTGCAGCCAGTGGTTGTGTGTGGGCACCAGTGAGCAGCAGAGCCTTGGAGAAGCCATTTAAATGCAGCACTGAAGGTGGAGGAACAAAGTGCCCTGAAGAACTGAAAGTCATGCACAGGATCAGGTTAAATTAGACTGTCAGGTACAGAACGATGGAACTGCAAAGGCAGGCACTGCAGAAACCTGGGCACGAGTTAAACAGGGAACAGCCCAATGGCACTCAGACCAACAGGGCTGGGAATACACAGCCCTAAAATCCTGTTATCCTTAAGTCCTGTCCTGAAGAACAGGACAGAGGCTGACAAGATTCCAGGATGTACCAGTGAACAGCAGCTCCACAAATGGAGTGCCACCCTGACCAGCTGGATCATCCCATTCCATCCTCACTGAGCTCTTTCTTCCACAGTGTTTGCTGAACTGACAAATTACTGACACAAAGTTCAATTGGCTCAAGTGTGTGTACATTAAAAATTATACAAAGTTACTCAGGATGTATTTCTTATCACACAGATAACATATCACACCATAACATTTTAATTCTTAACCCTAATAACAAAGTCTTTTAAAACAAATGTCTTCCCAGAGAAACCACAGCAAGGCTTGACAGAAAGAGTCAGCTGAGGTATTTATAGTTGATATTTATGACTTACACTGGTGGTCACAAAACTGACTGGAAAGATATCTATGACCGTGAGTCAGCAGATCTGGCAATTGCATTTTTAAATGGTCATAAAGTTATTCAATTAATTCAGTTCTACACTGGGCACATAATGCTTGGCTGATGTTTGACTGGACACCTCTTCCAATATATTAAAATAAACAACAAATACCTGTTTACACTTTATGTAAACATCCAGCACAAATGGATGGTTACAGCCTGTAATTTCCATGCACTACTAACATTTAATTTTTTTCTTCTAGCCTGAAAAAAAAGACTGTTTTTTATTTTCAGTGCCTCATGGGAAATTTTCAAGACCATTATTTTGGGAGGTCTCAAACTCACCTCATCAGTGGACCTGACTTTCCTTGTCCCATTTATTTCTATGGCCTTGAAGTACAAAGCAATGAGTAAGTGTGTATGAAATGTCTCCCTGGGACTTTCCACAGCCCCAGGGACGGCAGAGCCCAGAGAAGCCAGAGAGGAACACAGAGATTACTTACACAGTCTTTTTGTCCTGTCGCAGGAGTTTGGAGGAGAATTCACTGAGCACTTCGAGGAAAGCAAGGTTTGGAGGGGGGTAGTCTTGGCCTTTCTGGTTCTGGTATTTGAAGGCAAACTCTATGCCATCCCTACAGTAAAGAAACATTACATGTTCAGACATTAACATTCATACAAAAGAGAACTTCCTGCCCCAAACTAAGCACTTGAAGAAGACGTAACAAAATAAAAAGGTGCCCAATACTGATCTGAATGTAGCAGCACCTTTCTAGACTTTCCTGTGCAGTAGTTACATAAAAAGTTTCAATCTCCTTTAAAAGATTTCCAAAATATTTTTGGAATTCTTTTTATAGTGCCTCCAGAATCCCCAGTGGTGTGGGACAAAGAGCCATCCCCACCTGTTGGACACAACCCCCACGAGCGTGTAGAACACCACTGGCTTTACCTGAGCTAAACAAACATGGCCAATCCAATCAATTCCAACAAATAATTAGGTAGCAGCTGGTTTTTCTTTCTTTTCACAAACATCTACATACACCCCCCCATCATTTTCTACACACACCAGAAAACACATACATAGCTATTGCAGGACCTGTTGAGATTACATACCTTTATAAAGGGCACACTGCACAAAACCTTTAATCTCAAGTAATACAAAAATCTGGTTTATTTACCACCACTCACTTGTGCAGTGTGGCCACCGCCTCCCTTGTCTTGATCTGGTCCAAGCCGAAGGTGAGGGCGAAGCGCCGGGCCAGCTCCTTGATGCCGCTGACGTGGGCAGAGGTCCTGTCCAGGTTGGGCCCCTGCTCCTGAACCAGCTCATTGAACAGCTGCAGAGGAAGCAGTTGGGAACACCTGTGAGCTCAGAAACACTTTCATTGGGAAAGAGCTCATGTGTTCTTCACCTTTTCCACCTTAGAGTGGCCACTGCAGGGACTCTTTCACTGAGACATAACAGAGTCCACGTCAGTTCCCAGGATTTCTTCTGTCCAACTGCTGTTTGCCAAGTGTCTCTTGTGTGGACAATTACTCAGACAGAGTCCTGCACCCCCCTTCCCTGAACAGCATCTCTCCTGGTCCCACCCCCATCAGACCAGCCTGTCCTCAGAGTGTTCCCCCTCCTGCCTGCCCAGCACTGCTGCTCTGACCCCAGGACAAGAATGAATTCCCAGTGGTTTTCCAGCCAGGTCTGTCTCCTCCTGGCACTGCCATTTTCACCACATTTCCCTGACCTGCTGGTGAGAACATCCCAGGAGACAGTGTCAGGGACAATATTAAATCAGGCTAATTGCATCTACTGTTCCTCTGATCTCCACAAGCTCTGGTATGATGTAATTAATGACAGCAGCTTAATTTGACAGGATTCTTGCTTGACAAACTCCTCCTGGCTGGTGCTCCTCACTCAGGCTCTTGCAAAGAGCCTGTCTCATTACTTTTTCCTGAGCTGATGTTTGGCTGATGGTTCTCTGGCACTTGGCTTTCTCCTCTCCAGGTTTTAAACACAGGAGCTGTTTTGACACTCACTGACTCTTCTGGAAGTACATCTCTTTTATTCAAGTTCTCACAGATTTCCCTCAGCTTCCAGGTTGCTGCAGGAAATCCCTCAGTGCTCTGGAGTGAATTTTGGGAGGCCCAGCTGATTTGAGAATCTCTAATCTACAGCAGTAATTTCCCTGTGGCTGTAGCTGGTACTTCAGTGCTGCTGTCAGCAGATGGATTTCATCATCAACCCAGTAATTTATGGTTGATGGAAAGCAATTTTTTTCAGGGGAAAAAACATGTCTAACAATACTGAAGACTTAATTATCTTGAAATCTGAGAAATCAATCAGTATTTAGACAAAACGTAAGGAAGGTGCATTACCTCAGCAAATGATAAGAAATAGTCATCCTAATTCTTGTTCACTTGGGAGCAGTAAGCAAATGCCATGAACCAAACTGCCTTCAAGGCTCTTCTCTCCCTTCCTGCCATTTCTGTGTGACCAAAACTCTGCCAGAGTGGGTTTATGGAGACAGAGATTACTAACACAGAGGAGCAGGGACAGCCTGACCTGGGAATAAGAGAATCTCCTCTCACAGGTGCAGCCTTTCTGCTTTGCTGTAAAGGGCACCTGAGGAAACCCTGCCCCGGATTGTCTGCAGTGAGCATTTCTAACAAAAATCAACATTCTTACCTGTTGCAAACTGAGGATGAGTGTCTTTGCACACTGGATTTTATCAATTTGCCTTGTTTTGCTCAGAGTTTCCTTAATGATATCTCCATAGTCATTGTAGTACTAGGAAAAAAGTGAGAAAAACCTCTTTGCATTGAACCTCTTACACGATTTCTTACAGCTTTCCCAAGAGAAAGATTATTTGTAATTCTTGTTTTGAAAAGGCAGAAGTTCCCAAAATATTAGTCGCAAATCCAGATATGAAAATTTAACCTGCACCCAGTGCTAAGGTAGGGAATTTCAGTATTTGTTATTATCTTTGGTAACAAATATGTTGAAAAACAAACAAAAGAGCATTTCCTGCCCCAAACTAAGGCCCTGGTGAAGGTCCATGGCTGACCCAGCCCAGCCTCCAAGCAGCAGGTGAGAGCAGAGCCAGCCCACGTGTGCAGCTCCTGGACAGGGAGGAGCTGGGTGGCCAAGGGAGGGATTCACTGAGGCCACAAAAGGGAGTAAGGAAGCAGGCAGCTTGAAGTGCTCTTTTTCTCTGTGTGGTTGCTGGAAAGAACAGCCTCTGGTTCTGACCATATGGAGAGAAAAGCCTGTATTGTCATTAAAACTTCCAGGCTGAGAACAGATTTTTTTCCCAAAATATTCTTTCAGCCTCATTAATATTTCTGCATTTGCAGCCACTTATTTTCATGCCCTCTGAAATGCTGCTCCTGCCTTCTTTGGTACAGAGACCCTTCCAGTTTGTGTTCTAAGATATCCCCACTTGCAGCAATACTACACAGAGTGGGTTTTTTACTGCTGTCCTGTTTAAAATGACCTTCTCTCACAAAAAACCTGTCTCCTTATGGCAGGAACCGAGCTGGGAGACTGCCAGGGAAACACAACATCGATCAGAGAGCTTATTGTGGATTCTAGGAATGAACGTGAGGAGCAGGAGCCTCTCTGGAAACACTCAGCACCTCCCAGGACCAGCTTTTGGTGCCATGTTAGCTAAGAACAAACAATCCAATAAGGCTGAAAAAGCTTTCAGAAGTGTTTGACCTTTCCCTACTGCCCTGGAAGGGATGGAAAGAGGAGCCCTGGCACTACAGGGAGGACACCCAGGGCTGTACCTTCATATAGTGTTTGAAGATATCGGCTGCCGCGTGCATGTCCACGATGTCGTAGATGATCAGCTTGCTGAAGGCAGCCAGAAGGTTTCTTCTCTTATGTAAAGCTTCTATTTTGTTGGCTTCATCTTCTTCATCTCCCTCTGAAAGCATCATCAACAACAAATTGTTTGTGAGTAACTTGGGTTCCAAAGCAACGTTATGGAAGAGGAGCTCTCAGAAAAAAATCAATTCTTGACCATCAACAAGAAGGATTGCTGGGGAAGCTAAAACTAAAAGTGACCATTCTTGAGTCCTGTCTACTTCACAACATGACACACCACTGACCAAGGACTATCCAAAGGCCTGAGTAGTCCTGGACACAACCCACATGGGACTGAGTCACTTGTTTTCTTGCTGAATGCTTTTGCTTAACTTCTCAAACACAGGCCATTTGGAGCTGCTTCATCACCTTACTAAGCTATAAATATTTAACAAAAGGAACATTAGAAGCAGCAATGCTTCTACTGCCTGCCTTGGATTTTCAGATGTGAAATCAATGGCTCTAAACAACAGGAAGTAAAACCCCACTGGAAGAAGCACTAACACTGAATGGCAATGCCAGAAGGTATTCAGTCCCCATGCAAGACTTCACTCAGTGAGCGAAGATGAAACTACACATGTAAAATGGTAAATATTATATCATATAATAAAAGCATATTCCACAATTTACATAACTCCCTTTAGAGCAAGAATACATTCTCTGAGACCTTAATTCCACACACAGCTGTCCCTGTGTGTGCTGCTGACATACAAGTAACTGAGCACAGCAGAAATTCAGATGTGTCCAAAAGAGCACTGCAGCACTCACTCAGCAGCTCTTCCCACAGTTTGACTGGGAATCCATCTCTTGTCCAAAGCTATTTAGGATTCAGACACTGGGCATCTCTGTACTTGCGTTTAGGCAATTTATAACAGACCCCAGCAGCACCAGGTTATTTAAACCCAGGCCTAAATGACAAATCTGTCTCTCCCTGACTGAGAGGCAAAAACCTGAGTCATCCTTGTGAAAAGCAGAGATGGGGCCCCTCTAATCTGAGCCATCCTTGTGAGGAGCAGAGATGGGCCCCTCAAAACCTCTCCTCTCATGGTTCCCGGCCCAAAGCAACCAATGTCAGGTATCCAGACTGTCTCAGGCACTTCTCCAGTCTCCAAGCACACCAGGGATGTCCTCAGCTTGATTTGACTGTTCTGAGGGAGCACAAGGGCTGTTTATTTAGTGGCATCAGTATCTTCAGGCCTTCACTGTTTAGAGCTTTGCTGCCAAGCTTTGCCCTCAGAATCTTGTAACTCTGGTAACTCTGAAGGACTTCCCTTCTATGTGCTGGTCCATTGTACTCCTTTCCCTTGAAGCCCTGTTAGATATTTCACATTCAGACCTCCCAAAAATTAAAGAAGGGATACTTCTGAACACATTGGAGCAAACTGATCAGAAAACTCCCATTTTCTTCTTTCTTCTGTGTCTGTTATGAAAAAAAGCTAAGTAGAAAATACGAAAGCTGTGAGTACCCATGCTCTGGTTTTCATCATCTTGGTCGATGAAGACATGGTCCATGACAAAACTGAGCAGTTCTGACTGCAGGCCTGAGTCTGGGTTGAACACCAAGGGCTGCAGCCCTTCCCGACCTCCCGTCATCAGCTGGTGACTGAAGATCATCAGCAGGTCACAGAGCAACATGAACGCCTGGAAGGCAAAGAGAAGGAGTGCAGTGAGGAGCAGGTCACAGGAATACAAAATAAAATAAAATACCACTGGTTTCATCTCCAGATATCCCCTGCTGTCACTAAATAGCTTCTTAAACTGTACTCGTTGTAGCTGTTTGTGTGCTGTGAAAAGTATCCACAAGGATTTTCTCTAAAATGTAAATGCCTGGGGAATGCCTTTGGTTCCTGTGTAAGGAACTGTGTTTCCCACCTCATCCACATCCTGGAGCATTCAGATTACATTTCCACTTCTTCTCTATGAAAAGAACCCTTAAATCTACCTGTGATCCAAGGGCTGCAGCCAAATTTGTAGTGAAGAAAAAAACACCTCTTTTGACAAACAAAGCAAAAATATGAACAACATTATGAGGGAAAGTTCAAGCTGAGCCACTGTCAGATCCCAAAAATACAGAGAAGCAGCCATAGCACAGAAATTCTTGCAGAATTTCATCAACAATTCCAAAAAAAAAAAAAAAAAAAAAAAGGTAAGTATCTGTGCACAGCTTTCAAAGCCAAGCAGGGCAGAACTGGCTATGATTTCTCCTCATTGCTGTCACACCCTCGTTACCTGAGGACAGAAGGCAGCCATCAGTGCCCTCCCTGCTCCCCAGGATGGTTCATGTTGGGGTGTCACCACCAGCTGTGAACATCTATATCACACTCAACACCGAGCACTTTCAGAGAGGACTTTTTAACCTTCTTAACTGCTCTGTTTTTAATCTCAGGTTCTGCCAACTTGAATTTCCCAAATGAAGTCTTTGTGAGTGCCGACCTTCACAGGGGCTCACTTATTTCTTGGAGTGTGGCATAAAACCTGTAAACTCTGTTCCGCTGGCAACACATGCAGATGTTTGGGATTTGTCTCCACTTGATCCAGAGGGTTGTGGTTCATTTCAGGGGTGATCTCACCACTCTGACTCCTTCAATACTCGACAGAATTTAAGCTCATCCTACTGCAGATCTCTGAAGAAGAGCAGGTGAGCTCTGACAGGGCTGCTTTGGGCCCTCCAGAGTGGCAGCAGAGCATTCGCTCACAGGGAATTTATTTCACCCAGGCCAGGAAAATGTCACATGTTTTAGCCCACCTTCTCTAAATACTTCCTATGTTTTTCCCTCCTTTGAGATGGACATGGACTTTCTCTGGAAAGAATGTCCAGATTAAGGACCAAATATGGGAGGGAGACAGCATAATTTACACAGAATCCTCCAAAAAAATCCAGTCAAACAAGAGGATCAAGAAGTAGTCCCGCACTCACAGAAATGTACTTTTTAAGGAAGAAAATGAACAAAAAACACAGAGAGTTATCTGTGAGGGACCTGTGGAGTCTCAGTCCAGCTCTGACTGGGGCATTTGCTCTCTCCAGGCCTGGCTGGGCCTGGATTTGTGTGGCTGAACCTGGAAACTTCCCCAGAACCAGGAACTGCAAAGGAGCTTCTCTGGAGAGTTTGAATTACCAATGAAATAAAGCCATAATGAGAGAACAAACCCACGTTAATGTACATGAAAATGTGTTAACAGGGTGTTAACAGAGACCAGGAACAAACCCCTGCAGCCATGGGAAGGACCAGCTGCCCTTGGCTGAGGCAGGATGGATTCAGTGCTGCCTTAGCTGCACTGGGTGGCATTTGCATGGAGCTTCATGATATTTTCACATTATAGAAGATTAATACAATATGCCATGAGTAACTACTCTGAATATTAAAAAACAATTACTAAAGGTAAATCTGCTGGAAGTCAATGACATGAGTGTTTAAACATACATAAACTGCTGACATCTCTGAGCATTTAATATTTATATTTATCAGCCTTGCAGAACAGAGTGTAAATGCCAAGCAGAGCTTCCTTTCAAAGCAACAAAAATGTCTTTTAAGAAGTATTATCTTTTAAATACCACAGGCCAGTAGGTCTTTGCAAAATCTGGAGAGGTCTGATAGAAATGCCATCTGTAGACGGATGAAATGTCAACAGACCTGACACGAACCAGTGAATATTCACAAAAAACAGCTATGGTGTTCTTCAGACACAGACTGAATTATTTCAACAAGCCCTTTCATTTAATGGGGAAAAATCCAGAAAGATTCAGCCCATTTAAGGTCTCAACCACCCTCCAGAAGTGCCATCCATGAGTACAGTAATTGTCTAGAGGGGACCTCAGGTGACTGAGGCAGTGGGAGCTGGACATGAGCCTGAGCACCCAGGAAAGCCTTACTGGTAGTGAAGAGCATTTGAACTCAGCTGAGCTTTAAGGGGCTGCTCACACAGCTCTTCTTAGGGACTGCTCTGGGTTGTTTAGAGAAAAGCACAGATGATTTCACCCAGAGTTCGATGCAGTGCTGTCTGGAGTTTTGCTCCCATTTAACATTCACAGTTTTCCAAAAGCATGTGCCAGCCTTACCTGTTCCTTGACTGGGGTGTTGACATTTGACAGACACTGCTGGCACACAGCCAGGAAGGATTTCACAGTTTTCCTCAACACCAACAAGTCGTCCTAAAATCAACATTAGAAAGGAAAAGTGCATAAAAATTAAAAAAACCCCATTGCTACGAGGAAGCAAAATAAAAAAATGGTGACAATTTCATATATACAACAAAAAGGCTGTGAAAAAATATGCTCTTCAAGGAGCATGGAGTAAAAAAAAGCCATTCATTTTCTGAGGATTGACCCAAAGTTTCCCTCGAATAAATAATAAAAAAAACCCAATACATTCCTGAGTTAAATTGTCTCTATTCTACACTGAATGTAAATTATAAATGTTTCAGAGCACAAAAGTTGAATACATCAAGGTCAGCCCACCTGGTGGTTTATAAAGAATTCAGTATTCAGATAAATCAACATGGACAAAAAAATAAAATACCAATGAATGTGTCCAGCTGCACACAAACATTATCCCACAGACACAGGAGGTGGGAAGGCAAAGCACAGAAATCTCAGGAGTTTCTTATTTTTATGGATAACAAAAAAAACTGGGGAAAACAAATCAACCCAAAATGTAAGATATGGGAACGTTACGATAAGACAAGAGCAAGTAGCCACGTGGCAGCAGAAATCAGGAGCAGCAGAAAAGCTCTTCTGTGAGAAGAGCCAGGAGTGACTCCAGAGGAACCAGGAACAGGCACACCCTGGAGGAGGGGCTCATCTCACAACAGTGATGAACTCAACACCCAGCAGGAAACAAGAACCCCAAATGGCATCAACTGAGCACCCAGTGCTCCTGCAGCCCTTCCCCCACGATGCTTTATCAGCTTCCAGGGGAAAGGAGCACATCCTGCACAGCAAATCCAATCCCAACTCCAGGAACCCACACCCTGCACATGCAGTGTTTGCCTTGCTGAATGTTCCAGTCCTGCTGCCTGTTCAGTCCCTGGGTCTCATTCCTGGTTTTAGCTTTCCTTGTGCTTCCTGCCTCGAGATCTCATCGTTCTGTGTCTGAGAAAAGCCGTCACAGGGTTCCTGTGTTCCCTGTCCTGGTTCTCAGCAGCAGCTCTACTGAGAGGTGCCCAAGCACCCCAAGTGTCCCCAGGTCTCTGAAGCTCTTCCCATTTCCACCAGAGTGAGTGTGACGTTCTGACATGGACACTGAGGCTCTGGGAGTTTTCCCAGCCTGCCCTTCCCTGCCAGTACAACCCCTGGTGCCACTGCAGTGGCCTCCCTGACATGACCCACATAAGCCACAGCTGCCCCTGCTCAGCCTTTGTGTTCCTGGATAGAACCTTCCATTTGGCATGGGTTAGAGGGTTAGAATGCCTCTTCTTTTTTTCAGTTTTATTTTGTTTACCAGCTGACCTCTATCCTCCCCACCTTAAATGCCTTCACTTCACCTTCCCAGAGGACTGATACAAATGACCGGTTTTCAGCCCACTGCACCTCTCCTGGAATGCACTGGCAGCCACCCCACTGCGTGAGGATTTCTCACTTACAAATTTTCCCAATGTATTAATCAGCTTTGAGCTATTGAATATGAATGACACTGAATCCAAATATTCCCTGAAATGCAGTGTGGTACCAGTGTCTTACAGAAACTGGGAGCTCCACTGGTTTCCTCCTCCACCAACAATGCAATCTTCCCACAACAGCCTGATGTCTCCTGGCCCTTCAGCCTTATACCAGGTGTTTGCTATCTGCCAGTCCAGGGTTTTACCTGAGACTGGTGCCAGGCTTATCAGTTCACTCTGATTTATACCTTTAACACTGGGATTACAATCACTTTAATGCTTCCTACTTTTTATCACAACCACCTGATGTTCATGAACTCCATGGAGAAACTAAAACCTATGAAAAATCCTACAGAAAGGTTAAAAAGGGAATGAGAATGTCTCCCATTTTTCTTTCTGTCAAAGTGAGTAGCACAAAGGTACGTGTTATTTATTAACCTCTGTCCTGACAGCACCATATGACACAGATTCCCGTTGAAAAGCTACAGACAGCCAGAGAAAGCCCAGCTGAGCAAGTGCAAGCAGTGCAAGGGAACCATCTGGGATCTTCTGAGCTTGGAGAAATCCCCAGACCACCACAGAGTGGGATTTTTTTCCAAAAGAGAAAATGGGAGGAAAGAAACTGAATTAGGTTTTCAGTGTCTGACCACTCCCGGGCCCAGCCAAGGCTCTTGAGCTGTGAACCCCTGACCTGCTGCCTCCAGCAGAAAACTGGTATGAAACAATCTCACCATCCCCTTGGTGCTGGGTAAAACCAGGGGGTCACAGCTCTGCACATTTAACCAGTCCATGGCTGGAACAGAATGAGCCAGACAGCAAGGACTGGTGTCTTTGCCACCACCCAAAACCAAACAACTGCTCCCAAGATTGGTGTCTCCAAGTCTGCAGCTACTTTCTGGCTCTAAATTGAAGCTTGTTTTTTCCACTGAGGACATCTAGAAATGCTGTGTGTCTGCTATGTTCATCTACCAAACCCAGTGCTTTTCTCCCTGTTTGCCCACTGCTTTTCCTCTGAAGTCGCAGTCTGCAGTATTAACACCCTTCTCCAGCTTGGCCCAAAAGCCATCAGCTTCCAATGTGACTCTGGAACATGCTCCAACCCTCTGCACCTTGGGACACTTTTCTTCCCTCCAGCTTTTTGAGCCACCTTTCACTGTGCCCATATGAATATGAAAAGCCACCAGGTTGCACTCTACCCCCCCTCTCCTCACCACACTGTAACAGCCATGCCTTTGGCCAGCCTGCCTGCTGCTCACTCACAGCTCTCTGACTTCTCTCTTGCCTCTTCTCTATGTTTCTGTTCATGCTTTTTTGGTTACTGCTCTAAGTTTTTGGACTCTGTTCTTCTGCAAGTATTTCCTTTTCATTATACACATGTCCAGTGCACAGGACAATGGTCCTGGGCACCTGATTTATTGAAGACATGAAGAAGAAATCTAGTATGAGTTAATCCCCAAATCTCCTACCTCCAGAGGTACTTGCTCCCCAAGATCTACAGACAAGAGATCTTTCTCCTGCTGAGAAGGGATCAGCTTCCTTTGAACCCTCCTCAAACCCCTTTTCCCCTGAGGAACAGCTTTTCTCCAGGCTACAACAGACTGCTCCCACAAACACCACAGGATGAACTATTTCCCCTCTAAAAGCACCAGTCTGCCCCTGACAGCACCCACAGCCACAGCCTCAATCTCCTCTGAACATGAACCACCAAAGATTCAAGCATTAGACTCTGGGTATTTCAAGGCTTACACATTTCACCCTAAACTGCTGCAACCTGCCTTTAGTAATCAAAGGTTCCTTTCAGATTTCAGACACCAAGGTGACTCCTCAGTGCACTCCTTTCTCCACAGGCTACTTTGAAAAAGAGTCTTGGAGTAACTTTGCCCCAACTCTCTGCTGCATTTAACTGGTGGAATCTTTGTTACTGGGCAGAGAATTTGGAGTGATAATTATCCCCCTTCTACTGAATGATACATTTTGATGATGGCATCGCTCTCTTCAGCTCTCTGATCACAGCTGTAATCCAAACAGCGTCACCCAGCATGGGGGAATCTGCAGAGCACCCCCCTGGTAACACCTGGGGAAACAACAGCTCTGTGTGTCCTGGGGAGGGGACTGCAGTGCCCTGGACCAGCTGAGGGCAGCTGGACATTTGTGGGTGCTCAGCAGCATTATCAGTGTCCAGTGTCCTGGTTCACTGCTGCCTGCCTGGTACTCACCATGGAGATGTGCTGCTCTGGCTGCAGGTTTGTTATGCGCTGGTAATAAATCCAAGAGCTGACCAGACCCTGATTTGATCTAAACCACAAACGTGGAGTTTTCCCCTGCCACGCTTACAAAGCCTCCAGTCCAACAAACCTGACCTCCAGCAGGCAGCCCAAATCCAAACCCTGCCCAACAGCTGGACTGGAAAGGGTCTCTCAGGAAGCAATTCATGTGCCTGGGCTTGGGCTCATGCCCAGGACTGTTCCACTTGAAAAGAAATGTTCCCAACACCCCATTCCTCCTGCAAACTCCCTGCACTAAAATGACACCTGCTGGATGCAGAGTACCCGATTCAGGAGTGTAAACCTTGCCAATATTTGCCTGCCATGACCAAACCAAGCACCTGTTCCCACGCCTGACTGCTGTGCTGGCAATCCCAAAATGTTAATACACTTTATCCTGTGCACTGCATGCCCAAGTGGCACCTGACCATGGGAAACAGAGCAGCTCCTCCTCCCAGCAGGATCTCACACAATGACCCAGCTGGCGGCACATGAACACTTCTCACAAATCAATCCCCCCATCTCTGATCTCTCAGCCTCGATGCCTAAGGGAAACCTAAGAAATCATCTCCTAAACATGAAACTGGGAACAAAAATTCATAAATCTGTGGGATACAGAAAAACAAGGTCTTACTTTTATGACATTATAAATTCCCTTCTCCCCATTAGCCTTTCCATCTTTTACCTTCCTTCCTTCCCCACTTCCCAGCTCCCACTTTCCCCTCAGGAACTCTCACCACCTCACCTTCCCCTGCTCTCACCCCCCCAGAGGTACCAACGACCTTTTCCTTATCTTTCAGAGTTTACCTGATCTGTATCTGAACAGAAACCAAGCAATTGCTCTTAGCTTGTGTTTTCTTTGTAATCTTCTGCTTTCAGCTCACACCTGAAAGGCCTGTGTGTCCCAAAGCCTCTCTACTTTTTACAGCTGTACCCATTGGTCTAGTAAAGATACCACTTCAGGCTACAGCCCAGCCCCAGCCTGCCCTAAGATCATTATAGTACAGCAAAGTAACGCCGGAAACCTGGATGGACCTACATATGAAAATACTGGGTCAGAAACGGTCCTGTAAAAGCCTGAATACCTAAAAAATCCTCATGAAAGACACCATTTTTCCTCCTGAGCTGCTGGTGTTAATGCCTTTGTCTACCCACACTTCTCAAGTGACCCCCTTTAATGCCTGTCCATTTCCAAGTCTAAATCATGGCTTACACACCAGCCACGGGCAAAATGATCCCCTGATGGATGAAATGATAGAGTGCAGATCAAATAAACTACAATGGAAGTTTGATAGAAAACTCCCCAGAACAAACTGCTCCAGCCACCCCAAGTCTGTGGTGTCTCCACCCTGTTTGTTGTGAGCACAGCTGGGGCTGCAGAGCAGTGAACGGAGCTTCCCTTGGACCAAGCACTCAGCCAGTATTTTGTAGGGTGGGGTGAAATCCCAAAGAATAGGTTGGTAAGAGCTCTCTAGTCCAGGGTAGTTCCCATTTCCATGGGGGATTCCAGAAGCAGAATTGTACTTCGAAAGGCCATTCCTGAGGGACCTTCAGAGTCCATTCCTATGAGCTCCTTTCTGTCTCACATGGAGCATTTTAATTTGATGTATTACTTCTGAAAAAGCTCTAAAAAGACAGAATGTTGGCCTGTGGGTGAGAGAGGAGCTAAGGAAAGGTCCTGGAAAAGCTCAGTCTAACAAACAAGTTACATGTCCCGTTGTCCTGCCTGCATTACACTTGTGTGCACTTCTTTTTATTAGCAGTGGTTCCTGCCACTACCTTACACTTCTACTGCAACAAAAAAAGATGCAATTAAAAGGTAAGTAAGGAAACTACAGGTCTCTGTGGTTTACACATCACCAGTATTTCTTACAACTATTCATCTGTGTGGCCAACATCACTTATCAGTTATGCAAACTGCTGGACTCAATAAATGCATTCATTATCTCGAGCAATAAAAAAGTAAAAATCAGCTGCCATAAAATCCTGATAAAGCTGTTTGCATAGCTCAGACGTGTGCATGTGATGGTCAGCAGCAAAATGTGTATGACCAAAAACTCTACTTACTTTGGAAGGGGAGCCTTCGGTGATTTTCACCAGTTGCCAGAGAATAGAGTAGTGGGAACACTGCAATGCCTGGACAACAATCTGTAACAGGAGGAACACACAGAATATGATGTTGGGAATATCACAGTGAAGTGTCTGGAAAATTTATAATACATTTTGGGGCCAAGAGAGGGGAGCAGCTCTCAGGTAGTACCAGCCTGCTACAGGTGAACAAACCACTGTGGAAATGTTGGGAAACAACAGGAGACTGCACTGGGGCACAGCAAGAGGTGATGCTACAGCAGGACAGAGGTACAACCCATCATCTGTGTATCTCAGTTCAAAAGCAGCTGTTTAAATATGGCTTCACTGCTAAAGCAGCCCAGAAATCTGTCCCACTCTCACATGAACACGTAGCCCAACTGCTAAAAAAAAAAGAAGGAAATACAACTTGTGTCATGGAGAAGACCAGGCTCGTATTAGTGGTGCCCATTAAAGCATCCATGGTGTCTTGTTAACATTTCAGCTCTTCATTAGGTGCTAAAATTTTCAAACTCCTTAGAGTGGTCTGCAGGAAGAAATACTAAGGAGAGTTTAGATTTCAGGACTTTCTTCCTAAGCTCAGAGCCGTGACCTCCACATGCCATGTGGTAACGCCTCCTCATCAGGGTCCTTTTGCAAAATACTTAACACTGGCTTTCATGAGAATTGATAATTTTTTTTTCTAAATGAAGCTGAGGTAGAATTAACAACTGTCTTCTAACTGAAATCAAATTAGAACTTAAAATGTGCTTAAATGCTGGAGTAGGAATCCTGCAGCTTAAACTGGAGTCCTGGGAGAACATGAGACGGTTTCTGTGCTTATCCATGTGAAACTAAAACTGAACTAAGAGGAAACGAAGTCCCGGATCTGTTCACTAGAACAGAACTAGGATGATGTTCTTTCCTGGTGTTCACAAGCTTCCATCTTACCTTCAGTGCACAACAATCATCTGTGGTATTTCCAATGGCAGCCAAGCTTTACAGTGTAAACACCATGATTTGTGCATTGCTTTTCCCAGTCAGGAACATTAATTGTTCCCTACTTAATAGATGAGAAAGAGGAGGGAAGCAGCTCAACAACCCAAGAATTTTCACCTCCTGTAGTCAGTGACTGCCTACAAAATAAAGTTCATTCCAAACTCCCTGGTTTCCCTAAATAACCAAAGTGCAGTGCATTAATCTTCTGAATTTCTGTACAGCCTTTAAAGCCTTGAACTGAAAGCCAAATGTGCAGGGCAGGTGTTGCTGTACCTGTTCTGGCATCGCTCCGTGTTCAATTCCAGTTCTCAGCAATCTGTAGCAGTTACTGAACAGGTCCCATTTGGTGAGATCATGAGCACTGGAAGGAGAGCAGAGACACAGGGATGAGCTGTGATCCCCAACACACCCGGCCCAGTCAGGAGGAGCAGCCCAGAGAGCTCTGGGCTTTGTCCAGCTGACACAACCCAGGCTGCTGACCAGGCAGCTCACACCAGCCTAAAAGCAGAAATTCAGCTTTCTGATAATCCAGAAAAGTGTTTTACTTCATGGGATTTCTGTAGGGAGGAGATAAACTCTCTACATTCCACACATCTGTAGAGGTTACCGAAGCGCAGAGACAAGCTCCTCCTCAGGGCTGCCTCTAAAGCATCTTTCCTCTTTGGTTCCGAGCACTGACAGAACTCCAGGAAACTCTTCTCTGACATTGCAGTAGAAACTGTGGCCAAACTCTGGCAATACTTTTAAGCAAAATAAACTAACATATTTTTCTGCTGTCTCCTTTGGAAAAAAGTAACCTACGTTATCACCAGATCTTAAATATCCTGAACTATGTGAAGTGGAACAGCACGACTTACAAGATGTACATGAGACAGAAAAGGTGCTGTTACCCCCACTCATTGTTTCACATTTCAGTGGCACCAACCTGATGCACCAGTGAGAGGAACACAAATGATATTAGGAACACTCTACAGCCTTACAGACCCCAACAGCTCACGAAGCAGCTTTTTAATACAGAAATGAGAAATACAGAAGAAATTGCACAACATCAGGTTGCCTGAAAGACAAAAATACCCTCACAAGAAAATTTAGGTTTAACACATTTTTCTGCAGTGCAATTAAACTGAGATAATTTGGAAGTTTATAATATGTCCATAAAAGAGCAAGCAACCTCAGAACAACCAGAAACTTCTTGATTAAAATACTCATCTGGAAGAAGGGATACTGAGACTGACCTGGCAAGTCTAAGTTAAATGAAGCAGCCCCTTGGCTCTGGCTCCTTCCAGCCAGCACCTCCATCTCCAGGATATGCTCACTCTGCCCAGCCCTGGTGTCTGCCCTGCTCTGGAGCTGCTTGGCTTGGTTTGAATCAGTACCTCCCCTGCTCTGGCAGAAAGAATAACTCTCTGCTTCTGAAAGGGACAGAGGGTGAACTCAGGGCTGGGAATGTCCAGATCCTGTTGAAGCCCCAGGCATGAAATGCTTCCCACTCTGGAGTGTGTCAGCCCTGGGAAATGTCACGGATAAAGGCTGCCCAGCAAACACAACAATAATGCCCTCGCGCTGAGAGCAAGTGCAGTTTGCACTCCAGGGCTGTGTCACTAAGCCAAGGTGCATCCTGAGTTCCAATTCAAACCCATGAACAGAACAACAGGAAAACTTTTTAAAAATAATGGAAATAAAGCCATAAAAAAAGCAAAAATACTTCCCAGACTTAGATGATCTGTGAAGTACTAAAATAAAACGTTTCATAGATAAATTACAGGTGTCAGAGAAGTGCCCCTGCCTGGTGACATTAAGCACACAGATGCTGCTTCAGCAAGTCACAGGGCTGCAGCAGGGCAGAGTGGTCCCTCCTTAATTACAGCGCTGTAATTAAAGCAGGAGGGTCTCCTTGGTGTGCAGAGGCAGATCCCAGCACAGATTATCCCACAGAGAATCTGGAAGGAAGAGCTGCCTCATCCCTGCCCTTTCCTGGCAGACTCCCTGTCCCACTGCCCCAGCCCTGGGACAGCTCTGGGCTCGGAGGGGCCAGGGCCCCACAGCTCATCCCAGGCTGAGCTCTGCAGCTTCCAGAGCTCCAAAATCCTCACTACATGCAGGCTGCACAGGGCTTTCCAGTATAAACTTCCTTTGGGAAGAGCCTCCAGATTACATTTAGGCCTATTCTGGTACCCCTTTGAGCTTCATGGCAACCAACACAACAGTTAAAAGGTACCCTGGACACCCCACAATTCCCTCAGAGCTTCAGACTGACACACAGGCTCCCAGGATGAAGATTCACACAGAATTTTCTGTTAGTCCCTTCCATGTCAGAGGCTCTTCATGGAGCAGAGAAAACAAGGCCCAGCCTTTCATTTAAGGGGTGTTTTCATCCCTCTGGCCAGCCCTGTCTGCTGGGGCACATCCTGCCAGGCAGCTGGCAGCTGAAGGAAAGGCACCAGTTCCACAGTGTTTCTCAAAGCATGGCAAGAAGCAGCTTAGAAAAGTTTCCTTCTGAAGAGGTGATCTCTGCTTCCCTTTTTAAAGAGGCCCAAAGTGAGAGAAGCTGTACCTTGGGCTTTGAGCAGCTGTGCTGGACACAGTCTAATTTCTCTGGTGAGGTTTCACTTCTCACCATTTCTACTTTTTCTGGAAATAACAAACTGCTGAATAGCTCAGTCTGAAGGACACACTGACCAACTGCTGCAAAAAAGGTTGAGGAAACGGTTTCTAAAAAAAGAAGAGAGGATGTGCTGATCTGACCATGGATTCACCTGTCTGGGAAGTGCCCAGGCTGATCACACTTACACACATAGTGCTTTTACCTGGAGAGTTCTTACAGATGAGTTAGGTTGGAGTCAGTATAGAAAAAATATCTCCATGTACTTAAGGACAAAAAAAAAATGTTATGAGAGTCTGGCATAAAAAACCCCAAGTGGGTACTCCAGGGGTTCTATTCAGAAGATCTCAAGAAAATTTACTAATGTACTCTGAAAATGTGGAAGGAAATGTTTAAATGATGAACTTCATTTGTATTGGAATACTGATATCCTTGCCTGATGGAAAGACACGAATTAAAGAGTGTGCTGGGAGCCCTTTGTTGAAATGACCCTCTGAGAAAGAGGATTAGCTCAGGCTTGAGAAAGCTCAGTACAGGAGCTTTTGGTCTGGAAGGCTTTTCTCATAATCCCTTGCCATGTATTTTCCACCTTGCTGGTCTTCTTTTTCCTAAAGTGTGAAGCAGCAGCAGCAGCAGCGACCAAGGAAACAGAAGCACAGATAGGGTCCAGTGGAGTTTCTCTCACTAGAAGGAGACAGGGACTTGTTTCTTTTTCAAGCCCCAGCAACTACTTTATCAGGGCATTTTTAGAAGATCTGAAAGGTAGCAGCTGTTAGCCTGAGACTTCACTTTTCCACTGGTTTAATTTCTTTGGGCTGCCAATTGCTGACAGATAACGACAGTCATAGGGAAGAGCCTTTGAGATGAGAATGCTCCGTGAATGTTTGTCATTGAACATCCCAACCTCAGAGCTCAGGGAGCAGCAAAAGCTCTGTCTTGGATGGTGTAATTGTTTCCTTGCACAAAGAAATCACATCTCACGCAACATTCAGCACAGTGATGAAAAGATTTCCCCATTTCTTTATATGCAAGCAGATATTAATTAGAAATTCTCACTGAGCTGTAATCATAAATCACGAATCAGCTGGGGAATGACACATTAACTGCTTTTCAGCTGGGATTCTTTGCTCTTCCCTGTTTTGTGAAGGTGGAAAGAGATGTCCCCTACCCTGATTTGTGTGTTATTCAACAAGACTGGTTTTATGGGCTGAACTAACTCCCTACAGATTTGTAACCCTGAGGGGGAAAAAATATATGGGAGACTCTCAGGAAAGCCTTAAGATTTGTGCTTCTCTCCTGAATGTGAACTGGAGCTCTCACCAGTCCTCTCAGGAAGGCAGAAGTGGCTCCAGTGTTACCAGGGAGACTGAAAGCCTCATTTGCACATGTGTCAGCCTGCTACACTATGGAAATGAGTAACGATTTAATGATCTTTGTGGGATTCCTGTTGAATGGAAACAAAAGAGTAGAAATGGTTTCAGAATCACTTCATACAGTGACCCCATGCAGGATGCAGGATAAGTGAAGACTAAGCACAGAAAGAGAAATGAAATCACTGAAAACAAGTTGTAGAGAAGAGGCAGTGAAGGAAGGTCCTCTCACACCCTGTGACAAGGAAGAAAGGATTTGTGGCGCTCAGCCACCTGTACATGGAGTTTTTTCCTCGCTGCCCAGGAGTAAACTCTTCCTACAGCTGAGAGAGGGGAAGGTCAGGTCTTTGTGCTCCAAAATTCACAGTTCAAGTGGAATTCTCCAGGTTGCTCCACATGTTGTGAGGGTGCCCAGGGCTCTGAGAGCAGCAGGAGCCTGCAGAGCTGGTTTGTGCTCAGGGGAGGAGTTTCTGTGCAATCCACACACTTAAACTTGGCCAACAATTCAACTGCAGGAAGAAAACGCATCTTCCAGGCTCTCACCATAAACTATTAATTATATTATTACTACTACTAAATAATTCTCTAATTTTGAGGTGAAATACCTCAAAGGCATCGAGAAACACTTCCCGCAGTGGTGCCAGTGTCCCTTGAGCACTGTCTGTCCCCAGGGGAGCAGCACTTTCAGTAAGATGCAAAAGCATTCAGTGCAAGGCAGGATGTGCCACGTGCAAATCAAATCTACAAAAGCAATGGCATTACCCAAGCAAGGACCCAGATTAATCCAAGCAGTTACACTGACAAATACCACACCAATCATCCTGCACTTCCTATTTTAGGCCATATATTTTCTCATTTCCCAACACTTGACATTGCTGATACTTGCTGAAAGGAGAAAATTAACAGAGGGGGAAAAAAAACACCTACTTGTGAAAAGAGGTCAACCTCTTCAGAGTGGAGAGCACGTTGTAAATGTCATCATCATCAGCCTCCTCTCCCTGCAAAGGAAAGGAAATCCATGGAGAGTCTGTCACTGCAGGGAGGAGCAGCTCCTCTGAGGGTTTATGCTGACACTAAAACTGACTCCAAGTGTTCCCATGACTGGCATCTAGATCCCATAACGTTTAAGTACACAGCACTAAACAGTAAGCAAGATCACCTGACTATACTAAGCATCATCACCGTGTTAACATCCAAACCAGTATCCTGTGGCAGTGGAAATCATTTCCAAGATAAAATCTGAGGTCTTCCTTGTTTTACAAAAAGGGCTGGTCAGCTTTAATATGCTACAATATCATTATCCTAGTATTTTTTGCACACTGAACAGCAAATCCCCTAAGTCAAACAAGTGGAAATAAGATACTTCCAAAACCAATTTTTCCCAGCAAATTTCTGAAACTGAAAACCCTCTTAAAGCAATTCTTCTCCATTTCATTTTGTTATTTTTTTTCCATCTAAAAGCCTAAAGTTAAGATATCTTGCTGCCTTCAGATGCAATTGCCAGTCAATGTTTCACTCATTATCAGCCCAGTGGGAAGCCATAAAGCAGTGGGATACTTCCTCGGGTACCAGTATGAAAATTTTTTCATTTAAAATGTCTGTAAATGATGAAATAGACTTATTAAAATTAATTATTCAAACCAGTATCACTCAACAAAGAATACTACTAAGGCCATAATTTTAAATCCTCTTTCTTGCCTTCCCCTACTTCTGTCCTGGCTCTGTCTCTACATCTTTATGTCCCACATCTGACCTATGCACTCGCTTTTCCGTAGAGATCTAAAACTCTTACTTAATTCCTCACACGACTTTGAGGCACAGCCTTTCTCTGAAAGCCTCAGTCCTCACCCCTCTCTCATGGAAGTGAATATCCACAGAGATGCTAAGCCCTCACTTGTGTTTCTCTGCTCCTCCTGGAGTACCAGAAGGGGACACCCCAGGAGGAGTTTGGTCTCCCTGGGCCATGTCCCTCCATGAGTCCAGTCCAGGAAAACTGCAGGAAAAGTGGTTTTTTCTCCAAGCCCCTTTCTCCTGAGAAGCTGTTGGGAAGTCACTTCTGAATCCCAGGTTCTCACTGCCCTGCTCTGACTGCCCCTGGTGAGGCCAGAGGGATCTCTGGAGCACAGGCAGAAAGGGAGGGGACTCTGCAAGACCGCTATTTATGGTGACCCGGTGTGGAGAACTGGGCTGGCTCTGAGCTGGATCTGCCAGTGCAGCTTCAGCCCTTTTTGCCACCCAAGTCAACAACAGATTTCCCAAGGTCTCTCTTGCAGTGTTTGGCTTGGCTGGCCAGAGGAACTCCATAAACCCAGGGCTATGAAAACAGGGGCCAAAAGAGCTGAAAGCATTCCCTTGACACACACACGCAGGCAGCGATGGAGCACAAATCCTGCAATATCTTCCCAGGTTCTGCTCAGCAGTTTATGAGGAAGTACTGAAATGGCAGCCAGGTGGACAGCAAAGCCAGTGGATTTTGGGAAAGAACGCACAGCGGTGCCCCAGCCCCCCTGGGCTTTGAGGCCCTGCCTCCCGCAGGCACTGCCTGTTCACTCAGGCAGCAACACAAACATAGTGTCTGCTCTGCAGGTAACAAGGCACAGACACAGCGTGTTTGTGAGTGCCAAGTTACATAAAAACACAAAACAAAGGGGTATTTCCTTTAATATGCCATTCTAAAACACAGACTGCAGCTTCACCTTCCCTCAGTGTGCATCAAAAATTAAATGCATCCACCTTGCATGACTGCAAGGGAAGAATAGGATCTATGTAGCCCTCAGGTTATGTTTAAAGAGCATGAGAATTACAACAAATTAAGTAATGTTACACAAATTTAAACTGATGCAAAGGAGGAAAAACTGAGTAAGGTTTCTATTCTTATTTAATGTATTCTCTGCCTTTTGAAGCACAAATTCTTACAACTAAATCCCAGGTACTTCCAGGTTTTAGACCTTTATCTTTATTTCATTCTTACCAGGGCTCTTTTAACATGTCATTATAAATATTTTACTAAATCCTCTCTTCCCTTCAAAATATAATCCAATCTTGATTTTGCTGCCTGCATAACTACTTGAGACTACTGGAATCACCACAAGCATTAATGTAAATGCAATTTCCTTTGCATTTTTCATCAGCTTTCACCCACTTAATTTCTTATCTGCGCTGTTTAAATACCAGAGTAGATTTTCAGAGGCAGGATTGTCCTGTAGTCTTTGTTTTACAGCATCAATGATTTGCAGTCTTAATGGTCAGTGTAAGGGATTTTGTACATGGAGAAACAGCTCCAAAATAATTTGCAAGCAGCTGCTGCTGCTCTACATCTTCAGATGGACAAATTCATGGCTTGGTCAGAATGTTTTTCTGCAGTTTATTTTAGGGAATTAATAAAATGACTGTGAAGAGAACAAACCTCCTGCAGCAGATCCTCCACAGAATGGTTGAATCTGTCCACAAACTCGTCGATGAGCTGGCTGTGGGCTATGTCCACCCTGTTCTGGATGGTGTACTCCTCACTGCAGAGGATGCTGTAGGTTTTGCTGCAAGCTTCCAGAACATCTGATTCCACGTGCTTTTCCACAACGAACTTAATCTGCTTCAGTAAGGCATCCAGATGCTGCAGGTGAGAAAAGAAGTTCAGCTTTCCCCTCGCCTGAGCAGTGGAACTCAGAGCAAAAGCCATTCCCAGACCACCCCAGTGGGGGTTGGATTGTCCCTGTGCCAGGAAGGCACAGCTCTGGGAGCCTGGAATGGGGATCCCAGACCTGAGAGCCCCCAGGGTGCTGTACCTTTTCCATTCTGCCCGTGCTGTAGATTTCCAGATCAAAGTACTGAGGGATTTGCAGGAGGTTTGCCACCTTCTCAGCATCAGCAGAGTACTGGAACACATGGACACAACACAGAAACAGGGAAGTGAAACCAAACTCCTGCACTTCAACTGAGAAAGCTTAAAGACAGCTGTAAATCCCAGGGAGAGTTACTTTGTGGAAAACTGTACCTTGGATAGCAACATGGGAAGTGCAATAATGAAATGCTCAGTCAATTTATTTCTGTCATCTATCTGAGTTTTTCTTTCTTTTGCTGTCAAGACCTGCAAGTGATCAAAAATAACTACAGTAAGTTCAATTTCTGCCTATGGCATTCCTTAATTTTTCTAAATGTTGCAGTAAAGACAAAAATCCATGCAAGTGTATTTTTAATAAATCAAAACAAGAGGGAACAAATAACTCAAACACATTTGGGCTGAAGAGTGACTGAATGGGAGGACCGCCCATCCTAAAAGCTGTGACTGAAAAGGATAATATCATATCCCCCAGCATGATATTGTTTCAACACACTGGCACCTCTTGAGGATTGACTTTCAAATGCACCCCAAGTCAGTGGAATTTCTGCTATTGCTTCCAAGCTGTGGCTTTCACACACTACACCCAGTGTTAATGTAAGACCTCAGGGTGAACTGAAGCATAATTAAGAAAACCAAACTCAAAGCACACTGTGACAGTGATTTTCATTAGCAGATTCATGGCCTCGTCTCTAATCTGGAAGGTGATTCTCAATGAAAAGGTACATCCAAGGTCCCAGAACTCATCACCAATGTCCGGGACAGACTAACACCAGTAATGCTGTCACAGCAAAACCACTTGGGAAGAGGGAGCAAGATAATCACCCAAACATGCCTCAGGAAAGCTTAGAGCTGGCTTCAGAAAGGAAAGAACACTTCTTAAAACAAATCATGAGAATAAAATGCTCGAATCAGCTAATGATTCACATACAAGGGTTACAAGCTGAAGTCAGAGGAGAAACTATTCCACAAGAAGGTGAGTGCTTAATTAGAAATCTGCTTCCATTTCAAGTCAGAATAAGCTGGTGAGATGAGGAGACACGACAAACCTCCACTGACAAGCCAGAGGTGCCTGCAGTTACCATCCCACCACTCATGGCTCACTGGAAAGCAGCAGTGTCATACCTACCCCCTCCGAAAGGGAGCAGGAGCAGCTGGAAACAAAACACGTGCTTGGGTGACAGGTATTGTGCCAGCAGGAATCCAAATGAGCCATGGAGGTGAGGAGCAATGGGTTTGTAAGCAGGGTAAGAAACCTTTCCAGAGCATGTGGCCCAAGGTGGGCACGGAGCAGCCTCAGCCCCTGCACCAGCAGCCCCTGCACCAGCCACCTCTGACAGCCCAGCCCTGCCCTGGCACCAAATATGCTGTTCCCTGGGGCCAGGATTAAGATCAGCCTTCAGAAGGTGACATCAACTTTACTGATGTGTTTTACATAGCTCTAAAGAAATACAGACATTGAAAATCTAAGATTAAGCAATTTGCTGAACTTCAGTGAACTGAGCTGTAGATCTCTTGAGAAAGTGAACAGTGGCATTATGTGGTGCTCCAAACAGAAAATACAAACATGAAATTTTAAATTTAAAGGTCACTTTGCCTGCTAGAAGGGTTTGCAGCCTGAGACAAAAAAATGTGCCTACAATACAGTTCTGGTAACATAGGATTAAATTTGTGTAAATTTGACTAAGTGCTTTCATAGACTCCCTCTTCATGCTCAAATGTTTTAATAAATTAGAAATGTCTTAGAACATGCTTTTTAAATTAAGGTACATAAAACATGTTTAAACTGATGGTTTCTTGGAGCCTTTCCTGAGATGCTGTTTCTGGACATGAGGCTACTCTGCTTTTGGCATATAAAAATAAACAAGTTAAGTAACTGCATTTAGTTTAACAATAAAGAACTCTGTCTCCAGATTTCACCTTTATTAAATCTGTGACTTTCTTTAATGAACTGGTTATGATGATTTAGAACAGAAGCTAACAGAAATACCATGTGTTCACACAGGTTTATTCCATTTTAGTTTATCCTAAATAAGATGAGGCCTACAAAAAATAAAAATCAGGGAAGCTGGGTGTCCTTGGGACCACGATATGTCTGGAGAATACAGCTGAGAGCCTGATATCACCCTGACCTTGTGACTTATACTGAAAGGCGTAAAAGTGCCTGTCCAGCCCTAGGAATGGACTCCTGATCTTCAAACAGTCACTAGAGGATACATGGAAGGGGCAGGCAGGGATGGAAACCCAAGCCCACAGGTGCATTCAGGCTGGTCTCAGTCCCACCCTCCAGCTCAAAGCAGAGCCCACTCAGGGGGCAGACTGGGATGCTCAGAGCCTGTCCAGTCAGACCTTGAAAACTGCCGAAGATGGAAGGGGCACCAACTCCCAGTATTTCTTCCAGTGCTTAAATACTCTCATGGTGAAGACACTGTTGGCTTTTCTGCAAATCTGATGTCCATGTTAGCAGCACATTCCATTTCATGGAAGACAGGCACAGATAATCTTGTTTGCTGCCAAGCTCTGCCCTTTCCGCTCTAATGCAGATTTAACATTAAGGGCTGTGCATGTGGGCACATTACAAGTGCAAGCCAGGAGTCTGATAAATAGAACACCTCAAAAAAAATCATTAAAATTGACTGTCAAGCTGGAAATTTATGCTGCTCGACTTGGCAATGCAAACCCCAAACCAGAACAAAGAAACAAAGGAAAACCCAAACACATCCAGGAATCCAACTTCTCCTGTTTTCCTTCAGAAGGGCTGCCACGAGGCAGTTCCAGTGGCGTCATCGAAGTCTAATCCAGATGCGTCAGAACGTGGCGGTGCAGACCAGCGCCCCAGAGAGGCCCGAGGTGCCCCTGGCCCCACTCACCCTCTTGCCCGTGCCCCTGCCCACGGGGGGATGTGCCTCGGCGGCCTGGCGGATGGTGCACACCATCAGCTCGATCAGGGCGCTCTCCTGCCGGTCCGACATCGCTGTGGGGGAAACAGGACAGCTCAGGGATGGCACGGGGTGCAGGAGGACAGCACAGGGAACACCGGGGACTATCTATCTCCTCCCGCCACGTTTATCAGGGCTTCCCTGCTTCCTCTCTGAGTTCCCATTCCCAGCATCTTAAAATGCTCGTGGCAGAACTGAGAGAAGTCCAGAGAAATGTAGTCTGGGAGGAAGGATGAATGAAGGGGAATATGACAAAGATCCACAAAATACAGCGTGTCCTGGAGGACGGTCAGCGACACACCAGTCACTGCCACTGTCTTACACATTTTCTGTCCTTGGCAAGTGCTTGTGGAGGATCAGACCCTCCTGGGCTAAGCAGACACAAAGAACCCTGTGCCTGATTTCCTCGGGAAACTGCCCTGTTAAATGGCGCCACTGTAGCAGGTGGATATCGAAAGGCCACACTTTGAAGCACTGAGGTGATGAGCACATCACTTCACTTCCTGCTGAGGAAGCAGGAGGAGTACCTGGATTTTTCAGCCACCAAACCCTGTGAAGGGCCCTGAAGCAGGAGAATCATGGAGGACTATAAAGGATCTTGGATGACACCCGTTGCCCTTGGGGACTCTTTAACCCCAACCTCCCTGGCTACCTTGCACACACAAATTATTAGCAAAAGGAATTTGAAACTAATGGTGAAAGAATCCCCTTATTTTTTTTTCCTCTGGAGAATTCACTGGGTTTTCACACTGTCTGGAAAAGCCCCAGATTTAATCAGCACCACCTGAAGTGCTTGTTTATTCAAAACTGTATTAGCTTTTCAATTTATTGAAATGTTCATGTATGCACTAATTATTTAAACATTCTGACAGAATGAAGTCCTAGCCTTTAATTTTAGGGAACCACAGTACAGCAGATTTCACAAGAAGAAAAACAGAGTACAAATAAAGTACAAATCACTGCTTTTAAAGCAACGTGCATTAAAAATGGATTAAACTCAAATCTTCTTCAAATATGCTTTCTAAACAAACCACAGCATACAAAGATATTTCACTGTGGGTGACAGTGGTATTTAAGGAATAACTAACAATGCTGTGCAATAGCAGTAAGGCAGAGAGGTTAAAGCAATACCTTCTTCTCCTTGGACTGGCTCCTCCAGGAGCAGTTCTGTCATACATTCCCAGTCTTTCAGCAGTTCTTGGGAGCTCTCCCACAAGCTGTCCACCAAATAGGCTGCATGTTCATGCAACTAGAAAACCCAAGGCAACCATCAGTACAGCAGCTGGTACAATCAGTTCTACAACCTCTCCAGTCATTTGGGTATGCAGAGTGTTTGGGTATGTATCTTATGGTAGTTGGAAAGAAAATTCAGTTGGAAACTAACTTAGGAAGGTTTTGGGTAGGTTTTCTTCCAGCTAACGATACAAGTGCAATGGGGTTATATTTTAACAGAAAGTGGAATAAATCTAAATTGAGCTTCTTTTCCATTAGGTTGTTTGAGAAAACTCTGCTTTCTCAGAGTGTTGGCCCAGAAGTTGTAAACTTACCTTTGCTCACCTTCTCACTGCATTAGAAAGAGGTGAAGTGGTGAGACAGGAGACTGAGCTCTAATGTATTTGGTTTGTATTCCTTTCTTTCAGTCTATTTATTACCAAACCAAACGTGTAATTTTCAAACCTTTCCCCCTCTATCTTCAGAACATCCTGTACCTGACAGTTTATCTTCCCAAATTTTCCTCCACTTCCTTGCCATTTCCCCCAAATTACTTCAGTAGGTCTCCCATAAAACTTCCCATGTGTGTTGTGTCTACAGACACAAACTATGGGTGTGTTCATCCAACACTTCACGTCACCACATCTGTTTGCATTTCCACCCTCCAGTGTTCTCAGGATGCTCAAAGCCCTGGAGGGCCTCCTCTCATCTCCAGCTGACTCTGCTCGAAGGCCCCTCAGGTCCTTCCCACTCTGAGTTAATTTAGGATTCTAATCTTAATTTGAGATATTCCGCAATTTTTGTTCCTTCCTGGTTTAAACTGTTTTACTCCACAAGGAGTAGCTCCAGGGGTGTTCTCCTTGCATGGTTATGCTAAAAAAAAAAAAAAGCACCCCTTCCATTTGTGTGTAACCAAGAGCCCTGGCAGCCCTTCCCCACAGCAGCGCAGTGAGGACAGTGGGGACATGAACGAGCTACATAAACCACAACCAAGATTTGCAGCTGAATTTGCTTCATGGACAAGGACATTTGGGGCAGGGAAAAGGGCTTACAGTATTTCTGAAAATACGAAAAGAAAGACAATTTAATACTGTATGATGACAAATCACTTCTTATGATCCAGGTTTTATTAAGCATGTAAAGGTTAAAATGAATTTTTTACCTCACTTTCAAGAAAGAAAAGAACCAACATTCTAATAAGGTTTCCATTTGGACTATTTCTCCCCCTCCTCTTTGCTAGAGCCTCTTCAGCTTGGGGATCATGTCTGCTGAACAGCCTGAAAATAAGCAAAAGGAGCTCTCATGGTTATCACAACAAATGTCATTTCTGCAATAATGATGAGCGTTCTTTCTTGACACACTAGAACTGTTTGTAAGACACACGGGAAGTATCTCCACTACCTCTTTCAGGGGAAAGAGAGCATGACCTCTGCCTGTCTGGAGAGATGGATTCATCTTCAGAGTCTTCCCCTTCACAGGGCTGGAAGAATTCCCACAGGAAAAAGCTCTCCACAACATACTTATATTGAAGGGTTTTGCAGAGTTTTCAATGTTTGCATCATCAGTCTAGTTTTGCATTTGTACCTTCTCAAGCCCCACAGTGGTGGTAGCCCTTCCTCCAGCAGTGCCTCAGAGCTGGGCTTGTGTCCTCACCGTGCTCAGCATGACTGGGACAGGGTGGAATCAAACCTGACATCCCAGGGAACAGCCAAGCCCAGGGTTGGCTGGGGCTTGGGGCTTTTACAGGTAAATGATGTGCTGAGCTCCTGATGCCAACCCCAAACCCCTCTCAGTGCTCCAACTCTACAGCTGAAGGAGCTCTCAGCTGTGCCCACTGAGAGTTACTGCAGTGGGGGGGTCACCTGGAGAAGTTTGAAAACCGTTTCTGGCTTTTCCAAGGAAACCACAGTCACAAAGCAAACTGGAACATGAAACAGAGTATTCTGATTTCACTGCTATAATTCACTGAAGAGAGGGCAAGTTACACTCAAATGTTGTATTTTAGGTAAAGACATCACCTTGTCACCCTGCTTACCTCACCAGATCAGAGATGGGCCCCCTGCAGGTGCTGGAATACCTCAGGACGTGCCCCTCAGGAGTCAGAGAGCTCTGTGTTATTGGCTCTCTTTGCTAACTACAGACAGCAGGTGTAACAACAGCTTACCCGGAGAAAATGAGAGTGAAATGTGTAAAATCAGGTGAGATACATCACACCTCACATGCCTCCAAGAGATTCTAACTTATTTAACTTTGCAGAAACCAATGCAAACGAGTTGTTAAGAAGGGGGCAATCTTATCTCTGCCTTTTACCTTGAGAGACATCCACAGAACACGGCAGAGTATCCTGCAAAGAAAAGTCAGGATAAAGCCTTGTCTTTACCCTGAAGGCATTAAGGTGCAGACCTGTCCTCATTTACCTTTGAGGCATTTTTCAAAATTATTTTGTCACATGTTGATTAACGAAATAATTTCACTGAATGTTTCTAAAAAGAACCCCACCCTTTCCTATAACTTGTGAAATGTCAGGTAGGAAACTAAATGTAACTCAATTTTGCAAACTGATTCCTTGAAACAGATAATACCTCATCACAAAGCTGGAATTCCACCACTGAAAGCTTACAATTATAATGTGGACTTCTAAATCCACAGAAAATTAGAACACTGGCAAAGGAAAATGGGTGGGTTTATGTATTTTTTTTTCTATTTGTATTTTGGCATGAAAGATCAGATAACCTGGGTTCTCTATACACATATTAAAGAACTCTAAATGTCACAACAATGAGGGGAAAGAATAAAATTCCTGCTAAAATATTTTTCACTGCAAACCCTAAAATGAAGAGGTTACCCCTCTGCTATGGCAGTGTCCTGGTCACAGTTCCTGATGTGCTGTGACTCACAGTCAGGGAAAAGGGAGCTCCCCTCCCTTGGCAGAGTGGGCACATGGGAACAGAACCACAGGGAAGGGGATTTGCAGGGGAAGTCAGTGAGTTCAGAAACAAACTGTAATTATTGCTACAGTAAACTCTCTCAAGTTCACTATGTTGAAATAAAGTGATCTAAAGCTTGGTAGAAATGATGACTGTCTATCAGGCAGACATGTAGGCCCTACATAAATACATCATACAACAGTAATTCTAGAACAAGAAAAATGTAAATTCAGCTTCTTTAAGTCTTTAGGTCTTGACTTTAGACAAGAGAGTAAATCTCTGGTTTAAATTAAATCCCTGATTTGCTAAATTGGGATATTTCACTCTATTGCTCCTTTGCCTTTTGATCTCACCTGTCTAGGAAGCATTCACAGACCTGGTGTTATTGCAGGGCAAGTGGAACTTACTTTTTGTGCAGGAACTCTCCAGCTGCCACTGCCACGGGCCGGTGTGCTGAGTACACGAGGTGATAGACGTTCTCACAGTCCTCGTTGGACAGAGCCTCCTCACTCCCACTGCAAGAGCCAGAGAGTGACACCTGAACCTCTGCAGACGTTTCACTCCCCTCCCCTCCCACAGCTCACCCTGGACAGACTGACTTCCTCCCCACAAAATCCTAAATCCTGGCTGAACACAGACCTCAAGGATCTCTGGTTCAAGTTTCAAACACAGGGGTATTTAAAGGGCCTGCAACACTAAAAGTTGGTCTGATTTCCATCTTCCAGTTGTAGCAATATAGAGATAAAATAATACTATGGAAAAATCACAATCACTGCTTCCAAATCCTACCCTGTTCATTCCTTAGACCATCACACTAACCATAAATACTGAAGATGCCAAACACTCATCAAACATTAGTAAATTAAAAACCTGGAATCACTGAAACATTTACGTTGGGAAAAACCTCTAAGCTCATCAGTCCAAACATTAACCCAGCACCACCATGTTCACCACCAATCCACATCCCCAGGTGCCACATCCAAGGGACAACCTGCTTCAGCCTCCTGGTCTGCTCCATGCCCAGGAGCTAACCTTTCCATGGCACACTCTGCACGCTCCTGCTGCGGGACAGGAGGTGGCCTGGGAGGTAGGAAGGAATATTCCCAATTCCAGCTGCTGAAAGGGCCAGGTCAGGTGGATAAACTGTCTCAGCAATGGGAGAAGGCACAGAAACGCTCTGGATATGGGCACCAGGTTACATCACAATGTGGGGTCAGAGACCTGGCACTGAGCATCCCCAAAAACCAACACACAGCCACCTCAGGGCTGAACGGGGAGGCAGCTGGAGCTCCAATAGTGCTGACACAATAAACTGCCCTCCCTTGTACACTGCTCATTGTCTGAGTGTAGGCAGACTTCCCTTTCAACACCCAGGAGCTACATGTGATCATGCCCTGCTGTGCTTCATGAAAGAGGATGAAGAGTTTATTTTCTGTAATTATTTATTGACAAGAACAGGCCGCCTTTTACCTTTGTCTTGGGTAAAAGACTCAGTTGGGGCTTCTGCAGCTTCTAAGCTCCAGGCAGATTTTGTGTGAGTTTTCTGAAACTCAGAAAAACTCCCATTTTACAGCAGCATTCTTGAGAAATGCTGTGAACAATTGTATTCTATCAGTGACATAAAAACATCAAGCACTGTCACCATCGGGAGTGTTGCTTCCATCCTCGTTCTCTCAGCATTCATCAGAAACTTTTCCTTAGCAGGACTCCACATCCTTTGGCCTCACACTACAGATGAGTTTAATTGGTCACTGTCCACCAGGATTGCTCCAGACACCTTTTTGGAGTTACCTGCCTGTCAGAATATTGCCCTGTGCTCACCAGTGTGACCCAGACCCTTCTGGTGCTAAATGCAATTAGCTGTGCTTTTATCATGCAACCAGGGGACAAAAAAAGGTAGACTGGGTCATTTTTGTCCTTGAATCTTACAACTGTGTTCCCAAATGTTGCTAATAATGTACGAGATAGGAGCGCTCTACATCTCATTTTTGATCATATTTGTTGTATTTCCTTAAATGCAAGACTTCATTTTTTCCTAATATTACAAGTCAAACCTCTGTAAAGCAGAGTGACTCATAAACAAGAAAAAGAAGCCCAGAGCTCTTCATTGAGAGGAAAAGCTATTGTAATCTTTCATCCAAATTCTGCATGTCCAAAAACATTCTTCAAAGCAGAGCTACAGGGGACAAAGTATGAAGCAAAACTGTTTATCAAACAGATCTCCTCTAGTGGATAATCCCAAAAGATGGGCAGGGCCCCTCCAGCAGCACATCACGAGCCTGGGGGGACAGGCTGGGTCAGTCACATGGGGAAGGGGCTTTAGGGCTGGATCTGTGCTCAGGGATGCCACTGCAGCCCTGCAAGGGACAGTGAAGGCCTGGAAGTCACCTTCTGGGTCCTCTCTTTCCAGCTGTGCCAGGGAACCCCCAAATCTCCCCATGCTGCATCTTCACTGAGTTACTTTAGCAAGCAGGACCCACAGACACTTGCTTTGGGGAGGACAGTCATTCTGCCCCTGGCAAAAGCCATAAAAGCCCTCAGCAGGTACAGCTCAACACAGCAAAACATCTTCATCCTTTGCCTACTGTGTTTCCACAAGACAGAATCTCTTATTTCCTGTCCCAATTACCATGTGTGCAGTTCGACTTCATACCAAGTGTAAGGTAAGAAATGCCCTTCAACACACAAGCAAAGCAATCAGTCAGTGAGATGTTGCTGGCCCAGGTGATTCCCAGGGGAACAGGGGGTTTGGAGCAGTACTCACTGCAGGATGAGCGTCACTAATCGGATGGCTTCCACAGCCACGTCGTACTCCTTGTCCAGGGTCATGGACACAATGCGGTCCTGGAAAGGAATGTCACGTCAGGAACACAACACTAACAAGCAGTTACCAGAGGAGAACTCCAGTCTACAAATAGTCACTCTGGGGGGAAAGGTGTTTCAGCTGGACACTGCCAGAGGAGCCCATCCCATGTACAGAGTCCAGCTCTGTGCCCACAGAGCAGGCAGGGACAGCTGCAGGGACAGCAGCTGAGGAGGGCACTCTGCAGTGGAAGCACTCTGGGCTGGGATAGCTGGACAGGTCTGCCCTGAAAATGAATGTCCTTGGGTTGGACAACAGCACAGAAATCGCTCCACTCCATTCCCCTGAAACCAAAGCATTTCAGAGCAAGGAATGCTGCATATCTGGAAATCCTGGGAAGAAAATCACAACTGAACACTCACATTGCAAACTGCCTATAAAGTGCTGGCCTTCACACCAGGCTACATCCTAAGGTTTGAAGCTGAGCTCAAGAACTACACTACAAATCTTCCTCAGGGAAGTAGGAAATTCCACGGTTTGATTTTGTATTTTCCTGCACTCTTCCCAGTGGAGACAAGCACAGCACTTTGCAGTCCCATCTAATGATTTTAGAACTTCAAGGGCCCTGGCATTATGAGAAGTCTCCTAAGGGTTTCTTTCTGCCTAGTTTCAGTTTGCTTACTGGCACAAAAATAGCTGTGATTAGTGTATGTTGTCCTCCCTATCTGGGGAGAATTTCTATCCAGCCATAAACATTTCAGGATGTCTTGATGCTCTTTGCTTGACTGATCAAGTTAATGAAAAGAAATTGGGCCAAATAAAACTTGACTTCTCTGGCTTAACTTGCTTTAGGAAGGCCTAGGTACTACGTGACATTTTGGGATGGGAAAAAATAGAAGTCAGGGACTGGTAGAGAAACAAGGGAAGGGTAAGGCAGTAACAGTGAAAATCACCAGAACAAATCAGGACAATTGAAAGGTTTTCACCCCTTTTCTATACTATTCCAGGCATTTAAAGGCCAAAGGGGACTGAAATTCTGGATTGGTATGTGAAGAATGCACCGTGGTTGTCCCAAGTGTCACCTCCCAACACCACCAGCGCTGCAGAGACACTTCTTGTAACTGTGACTGAATGGGCCCCTATCAGCCACAGTAGGATCCTGGGGAATTTGGCACATTTAACTTTTATCCTGACACTTTTAGAGACTGTGAGAAGTCTGTGAAGAGATACAGTAAAACAACTTTCCAAACAGGAAATCCTGTGTATGAACAAGACAAAATATTGATGCCTAATTTTTCCTATGGTGTTGGCCAAGGAACAGCAACCAACACAACATCAAGAAAAAGAGCAGCCAGAGATACTGGTCTCACATGTTTCAGTGGAATTCTATGTACTCCTTCAAAGTGTATCTTACACTCCAGGATACCACAGGGAGGGAAACAACTCCATGCAAAGGAGTAAGCACACAGGTATAAAACTCCTTTTACATCCCTGAAAAAAGCCTGGGAGGGAGGGGATCTTCTCTGCTGCCTGCAGAGCAGGAGGAGCTGACTCTGAGTCCTTGGGCACTCTGAAACCAATTGATGGGACAACGTTTTCTTACCGAAAAAGACCATTCTTTCAATTTTCCCCACAAACATCAGGCTTAAAATAAACAGTGTGGAAGTGTCATTTCTTGTTTTCTGCCTTGGTACCACCAGCCAGGCACCAAGAGCCTCCTCAGAGAGACCAGCACACCGAATGCCTCTGCAGGTGTAACCTCTATGCTTTAGGAGGTTGCCAAGTCCAGCTGCTCCATCTGCCTTTGCAGAGATTCCCTGTACCAAGTACAGCTGTTCAGCAGGCACAGGCCTGTATTTAGGACTTGAAATATTAATTTTCAGTGCCTATGATGATCAGTTTTCCACCCCGTATTAGGCTGTGAACAAGGCAGACTGAAGAGCAAACACAGATTTGCTCTTGCTGCCTCTCAGGCCATGGAGACAGCACTGTCCTGCACAGGGCCAGGGATGAGGGACAGGAATTCAGGGGCTGCACCTAAATCTCCTGGTGTCTTGCCTTTGGCACTGATGGCCTCAGTTAATGTCTGCATCAGAAAGGATTTCTTGATGGAAAACAAGTCTCCTCTTTGATGGTCAACATTTTTGTTGATGCATAAACCTTATTTTCCAGCATATCACCTACAGCTTTCCTTTGGCAAAGTGACACGAGCAGATCCTTGACACAGCTATCTGGAAGGTGATGAAATATTAACACCCCAGCACAAGGCACTCTGGGTCAAATTAATTTATTCTTTAAAGAGCCAGAAGACTGTAGAGAGACTTCTCTTGACAGTTTGAGTGTATTGAGCTGAACAGCAGCTCAAGTGTGCAGGTCGATTTAATTCTGATGAGGAAATATAAATAAGCAGCCATGGAACTGTAAATGGCATTTAGGTCAATTATTTTCCAAAGAGGTGGTGGTAGAGTTTGTGATGGCAAGACATTTAACTGATGTATCACAGCCTCAAAAAGCATTAATTCGAGACTTTGCTCCCTCCTGGTGCCAAAGGCCACATCCCTGTCAGCATAGCTGTAAATCCCAGGGCAGCTTTTGTTCTCTTGATGTGGCTGGGAACTGAGCAGTCACTGTGTTAAACTGTGTTAAACTGTGCTGTTCTCCAGGCTCACCTTTTCTTTTACTTATTTCAGAATGAGACAGACTTGTGCAGTAAAAGCAGCTCCAGTGGGACAGTGAGGATTCCAGCCAGAGCTCCCCTCCGTCTGACTCTTCTGACAGCAGTGAAAGTTCCCTGTGCCATCTCAAACCCAGCAGCAGTGCACCCACTCTCCTCTAGGAAACCTGTCTGCACTGGGAACAGCCAGAAGGATGTATGTGGAGTTTTCACGTCCCCCCAGTTTCCTGGGGTACATTACTGGGTAACTACTGCTCCCAGTGCCTCCAGTCTCTTGAAAAGCTTTGCTGGTGGATGGGATGGGTTCAGCCTCAGGGCAGCTCACCATTTACGGGGGGCTGCAGGAGAAACATCCAGCACATTGTCTCATCAAGAGAAACAGATACAGAGACCATGAGAGCTTTTGTGGCCTATTTCAAAATCAATGGAATTACAGAAGGAGCAAATATAAACAAATCTAAATCTGCACAGAGAGAACAGGAAAGCTGGAGGGCCCATTTTTCTGGTTGTCCTGAGATGATAAAGCAAACCAGACTTACAGAGGCATTGGAGAAACAGGCTGAGGTCTGAACCTGTTTGCCAGGGACTCATCTGTGAGAGGAAACTTGGTCTTTACTGCAACAGTCCCAGGAACTGACTTTCCAAATCAGAGAAATACAGGCCCTCAGCTGATCTCACAAAATGATCCAGTTATCTCTCCTACTTTAAAGCCAACTGTACCTAGTTCATTCCTATTTATTTAATCTGCCCTTAACAATCCTAAATGACAGAGATTTTTAATAAAGAGTCTGCTCTATTAAATAACTATCATTTTGGACAAAAAGCCTTCCTTAATATTCAGACTTTACTGCAGGTTAAGTATCTTTTTTTCTCCATCTCAAGTGAATGTGGTAAAAGGCCAATTACTGTTTTTATAAATTATTTTTAATAGATTTTATAAATTTATAATGTTACAAATTATTTTTTCCATCCATTTTATTTCCATCCATGGAAGATGGAAAGTTTTCTATGCTTTGTGCTTTCTAGATCAGACTGGAGGAGCTGGCAGACACTGCACTGACAGACAAAACCAGGGAAGCAGCGTAAAATCTACTGGGAGAGGTTTAAGTCTTGTATTTATGAGTATTTAAATCTATGCTTCTTTTCTAATCAGAATTTATCATCAGCATTATAATCATGATTTAGAGCAAAATAAACGAGTCTTTCCTCGGGGGGCAGCCTTTCCCACAGCTCTGTGCTCTCCAGAACAGCCAGGCAATGTGAGAGGTGCCAGCTGATGTGGTGACAGTGCCTGAGAGCTCCCCAGGCATCCCAGAGCAGCAAGGGCAGCACTGCCACACGCAGCTCTCCAGACACCCCACTGGGGAAATGAAGCAGATGTGCCACAAAGGGAATTAACAGCAACAGTCTCAGACAGATATGAAGCCAAAAGAGCTATTCCTCCAGCACTGCTCTCCTGAACAGGACAGTTGTGCTCAGGGGGAGGTCAGGAAGCACAGTGTAAACTCCACTTCTGCAGCAAAAGGGACTTCACTGTTTGGAGGACTGGGATGCAGTTCCAAGTGTCTCCCTTCAAACACCACCACATAGTGAGCTAAAAAGCTGTGGAACAACCAATCTTTTCTTATAGGCCATTACTTTCAGATATATTTTAGATTGTACAAGTACATGTCCTTAAAATTCAATAAATCTAAATTTAAGTAAGTACAGGCAGATTGATTAATGACAACATATAAGCTATCAATAATACAAGCAGATAAATAATCATCTTGGCCAAGTCTGACAAACCTCCCAGGATAAACACTGTAAAATGGATTTGGCTTCATCTCAGCACTCAGTAATACAGTTTTGCTGGTGCAGGTACAAGCCTTGCCACAAAGGAGTTTATTTTTGCATTTAACAGACGTGACTCAAAGACCACAACAGGATGAGAATACTTTTACTTTCTGTACTCCTTCCAAAAATTGTATTTCCTCTTACCTTGAATCTATTAGTGAACAGCTCCAGTTTGGGAAACAACTCTCTGTTGGTATACAGACTCTGAAGAGCTTTCAAACACTTCAACCTCACTTCACCTTGCTAAACAGAACAGAGCAAGATTAGCTGACAGAATACCCTCATCAAATGCACATGAATATTAAAGAACATCATCCTGCAATTTGTTTAACATATATTTAAAATTTTATGCAAATGGATGACCAAAGCCAATCTGCAATTCAGCTAAACCCAAGAACCACGTGCAGCTGCCTACAATGCTCCACTTCCTCCCTATCTGCATACAGAGAGAATTTAATGTGCCTTCACCTGCATGTCTGGTATTGCTTCCCTTTCCAGTAACTCCACGAGAAGACAAAGAAAGCAGCGAGCAAACACAAAGAGCTAAAACTAATTACTGAACTTCATAAATAAAGCTCCATACCCAAAGGGCTTCATTTCTGAATTTGTCTGTTCTATAAGCAGGTCTGTATTTTAAAAATACTCAAGCTAAAAACTAAAAGAACATTCAGAGACTGACATAAAACCAGAAGATTAAAGTCCTTATTTTTAAGTTTGTTAAAATTTTTTTCCTTCTTCACACCTATTTAAAAAATGGAAATAGAAGATAAAAGAAGCACAGAAGTTGGATTTTCAGAACTTCCATGACAACTATTGTTCCTGAGAAGTGATCTCTTTACATCCATGAGGAGTCTCTGAGCACTCGTGCTCTCTTCCTGGGATCTTTTTGACTACCACTGCAGAGAAAGTCAATGGGATGAAAGTCATGTTCAAAAGGATCTATCATTAAGACCTTTCAAGGTACAGAAAAGAAATTCCTTGAAGAGAAGTTCTATATGGATATGATCCAGTTCCACAAGGGCACAGAGCCTCTCATGGCCCCAGCTTACTGAGCCCCAGAGGGTCAGGAGCAGGGGGGGAGGAGAGAAAGGTGGAGTCACACCCCATCCCTCTGGCTGAGAGAAGAACAAGGAGACACAGAGTCACCCCCTGAAAAATGACTGCCCTTCCTGGCAGGACAGTAAGAGGAGGAGGACTCTCTCTGATAGCCCAAAGCTCTGGTTTTTAAACTACTGGTCAAGGATGGAATCCACCTCTTCGGAGCAAGGAGAGCCCCTGCACATCAGTTTATATCCTGCTAGGAAGGATTTAAAATGAAGCCAGTGGAGATCAGGGACAGGAACACCCCGGGAAGCCTAAACTGCAACGACCTGGCCAAGGAGCAAAGCAAGGCAGGAGTGAAGGTGGATACACTCAGTCCAGAACAGAGGAGCAGCCACGTGCCACAAACTGGCACCAGGCCAGACACAACAAGGTGGTTGGTAACTGTGAGAATCATCCAAGGAACAGGAGCATGAACCCCCAAACACCTTCTAGAGAGGAAGGACGTGGGTGGGAATGCTGAGTTAGGATTCCTAAGAAACTTAGGCCAGCAGGAGGGACAAGAAAGACAGCAAGAGACTTAGTAAACTAAGAGATGAACTTAATAAATGAATGAATGAATGAATGAATTAGGAGGGGAAACACAAGAGGAACATGTGCTTCAGAGGAGCCCGGGTTCAGCCTTTCCACAGGAATAGACCATCAGCAAAGCAGAGGAATGCAAAGAAGGAAAAGGTATTTTTGGATGTGTTAGGAATTGGTTTAAGAACCAGGACTGTCTTGGTATCTAGAGACACAATTATGGTTTCAAAACAGTTCCACGCATCAGTGAGGCAGGAGAAAATTAAGACTGAAGAGTCTGATTTAACACTTTTTTTTAAAGAGTTTTTTTAAAGGCAATTATATTATAATTGATAAAAATTTAATTTATGCTTCCAGATACATGGGAATGAAAAAAAAGCTTAAAAGGCAGACCTTGAAACCCACATTCAGATGAGAATCTATGAAAAACAAAAAGCCCTATAGACATCTGTCTGAAATCTGGGAAAGAGACAGAATTAACATACCAAATCTAAGGATTTCCCAAATTAGAGAACTAAACTTGTCTCCTACCTCTGGGAGACTACACTGGAGCTACTACAAAGAGGTGTAAAACTGTGTGTTCTCTGTGGTTTCATCTGAATGTCTTCTGGAGTAGAGTATGAAACTGCTCAGGAATGTCCCCTCTCCTTTTTGTAGCACCAGCTTCCAGAGAAGGTGATCATTTTGGGGTGACTTCTGCTCATGTGAAATGCAACACCTTATGGCTATTGCCTCAGCCTTCATTTTGCAGTATTTGAAATACCAGTCATAGCAAAAATTATCTCCTGATCAAAGCAAAGCAAAATCAAGGAACTTGGATACCAGCTGGGAAGTTTTTCAGGCAGTGCCAATGAAAACCAAGCTGTTAAGGGATCTTGTACTTCTGGATGGTTTGCATTTTTAATCGGTCCTTATTCCATCTTTTTCCAGTCTATTCTTTCCACTGCACCTCCATCCTCCTTTCTGTGCCTCCCCAAATGTCTCTTTCTCTTCATTCTCTCCCTCTTCATCCTTTGACGTGTGGCTCACCTGCCTCACTCTTCCCACTGTACCTCCAATCTGTCTCACTCTATACATCAAATATACACTGCAGCAATATAAATATCACCTATCACACATACCCTCACATTAAACAGATTAACTAGTCATTTAAAGACTTAAAACCCCAAGGCACTTCTGCTCTGACAAATACTCCAGAGCAGAGGCAGGAGAGCAGCCTGACAGATTTCTTCTGTGCCTGGTCCAGATGGGCCATTTTTTTCCCGTAACACCATAATTTAAAATTTCTCTGGTATGAAGGAACATGACAATTTTTAAAAAGCTGAGGTATAAACATATGCCAAGGCTGCAGGCAGATGACTAGACCCTGGCCTGAGGTTAAACTAACTGAAGAGGATGTGAGAAAGTATTGGACATGACATGAGAAATGTGTGGATGTGACAGATCAGGGTGTGGGAAGCTGACACCAGGCAGAGGCAGGGCCGTGAGGAATGGCTGCATTTCACACATGGTTAAAGGAGTGATGGGAGAGATGGATGGACTTCACAGACTGCAGCTGCTAACTGCAACCCTGACCACATTCTGCAAGTCCTACTTTGTACAAATGTTCTGCAAGGTTTAGAATGTTATCCCAGAGATGCAGTGCAATTATTCAAGGGAGAATTTACTTTAAATCAAAAGTCCCAGTAAAAAATGAAGCCCTCCAGCACATCTAAAATGCTAATCCTCCCCCCTGAGCTGCCCTCTCCACTGATTTATCTCTCTCGTGGGGCATGGCACCAGTGAGGCACACAGTGTTACCAAGGGGGCACAGCTGGAGCAGCAGCTCTGCCCCTCCATGCCCTGGGATGGCTGTGCTCCCATGCCCAAGCTTTCCTGGCACACGGGGTTGTGTCTCTGGACTCCACACCGCTCATGGTCCAGTGCAGCACTGAGCAGGATCTTCCTCCTGCTCAACTTCTGTACAATGACATCTAATGTCAAAGTTTGGGGAAAGCTTGGAAAGAAAAAGTTTGAGAACTCCACGTTTAGAGAGGAAGAAATCACATGTCCAGTGTCTGGAGCACAGAGAGTACCTCCTTTTAACAAGGAAATTGCTCATCCAAATCAAGGCAGAATGCAGATCCCTGACAGCTGTAGCCACAAGAACCAGCAGCAGCCAACTTCTGTCATTTGTGAAAGCCTTTCTAACTGATCTTGTTCAGACTTCAGCTGGACTTGAGAATCCTTGGGGGTCCCTTTCAACCCAGGATATTCTGATTCAGCAAATGAGTGATTGAGTCATATCCTCTATGTTAATATGATGTTTGAAGTTACTGCAAAATCATCTTTTTAAAGAATCAGCTGTTAGATATCAGTTATGTAAGTCATCAGAATGAACTTGAAAACTTTTAATTTCTTCCACCAGTGCTTCTAGAAGAAGAGAATAAACTGAATCAGGATGCTGGAATTTAGTGAGCATTTCAACAGCACAGGTAGGTCTCCTTTGTTTTCCCTGGATAAAGTTAGCAAAGAGTACAGACTAAAACAAGTGTTTCTAGAGGTTTGGTGGGAGTGGGAGCACAACCCCACAGTCAGAGTGCAGAGCCCTGCTCCACCAGCATTCAGAAGGGGCTACTCCTGCTGCAGGACTGGGTGGGACTCAGAGCTGCTACCACCCCACAGAGTGTGCTGTGGGTGCCACCAGCACTCAGAGCTGTGCTGACAAAGAAAAGCCCCTCAGGACACAAATCCTTTTGCTTCCACCTGGTGTTTCAACAAGTTTTTGAGGAAAAAGCCACAAGGAACCTTGAAAAGATTCTTCAAGGGAAAGTGAATTGATGAGAACTCCACTGGTTGTGGAGCCAGTGGTGTCTGTTGGGGATCCAGAGATGTTCTGGCCCCTAACCTTCGGGCAATGTAAATGGAAGACACATGGAAATCTTTGTTCCATCCTGCTTCAGTCACAGAGATTCTCAGGGGTGGCCTGAGGAGGCTTCTCTTTCCCTTGTAATCAGAAGAAAGGCATCATGGAAATGGATCTACCAACGTGTTCCACCAGAGCCTGAGAACACCACCAGCAGAGGAACCAAGGCAGCCTGGGAGTGCTGCATCCCAATGCAAGCACATACCCTGAGATAGGTTAGAAAATAGAACAATCTCTTCATAAACCAAGCATGATACACTAAGCATGGCCTGGGCAGTAACACAGGTAACACAAGGGCAGGAATGCACAATACTTACCCTGTCGTGTAGTGTCCAGCCAACATATTTTAAATAACTATCATTCAAGAAGGCATCACTGTACATCTTCATCCAGACTCCAATTTCTTCAATACAGACAGCTCTAATCTCAGCAATAGCATCACTACCGAGGAAGAAAGGACAGAACAAGTATTAACCAGAGTACAGACCATTTACTTCTCATTCCCCTTGCCCTATCTGTAATACCTTGCTTTTACTTTTGATGAGCCTCACTAGGTAGGACCTGCCACTGTTCCCACTGCCATCTGACTGATTTTCTGTTCCTTTGTCCCTGAACTCACTGATCTAATAATTTCAGCATTTTTATGTTCTGATATTTCCCCTATGTAACACAGTTCTCACCCTAGTTTGCGTCACAGTCTATTACTCCATCTTTTACCTCTCTCTTTTCAAAGAGAACTATGATCCAAGCCACAAACCTTCCCTGGACAATCATTTCTGAAACCATGTCTCTGACATTTGCTTTGCAGCCCTCACTGTGTCCAGCTCGAGGTGCAGAACCATTGTAAAGTGGGAAAAGTTCTTTGGTTTAACCAAAGGCACCTGCCAGAGGAGCAGAATGCAATTTGGTACATAAAGAGATCTCGTTTCATGTCCCACATGAAAGCCCCTACTCCAACCCCCAAGGGAATGTTTGCACTTCAACATTGGTTTCCTCTGGTTTTCCTGCTTTTCTCCTCCATTCTGACTGTGGGCAGTGATGGGAGAGGCAGGGACACATCTCAGGCAGACTCAGCAGCTGCTCCCTGAGGAGGGGCAGCAGGAAAGTGTCTGGAGAGATCACCAGAGAGCTGAGGGATGGACAGGATTTCCATGTGATTGGCACCCTGTGCCTGCCTGACATGGAGCAAGGCACAGCCACTAATCGGGAGCGACGGCTCAACAACAGGAAAGGGACTGGGGCCATCTGGCCCTTCACTCATCTCGGCTCTGAGACATCTGCTACTGTGAGAAAGCACTTGTGCCACTCCAGCTGGCACTGCTTCACAGCCCAAACTTCAGCTGCAATAAAGGAGGAGCAGAAAGAGCCGCTGCACAGAAGGAGGGAATGTCTGGTGCTTAACAAACACTGGACTTGCTTGTAATTGAGATTCTTGCTCTGTATTTGTATTTAAAAAATCTTTTTGGAAAAGTAATAAACAACAATTTAATTCTAAAACAGGCCAACAGAGCCCCAAAATGAAATTTAATTTACAGGAAGGAAAGAGAGAAATTCCAAGCTTCAAGCAAGAGAATAATTGCAAAATAAGAGAAAATGTATTTTTCCTAAAGTCTTCAATTTTACAAATTATAGATAAAATACACTCAAAGGTCAAGACACAAGTTCACACAGCCAAAGCAGTGTAACAAAGCCATGATCACTCCATAATGGAACAGCACAAAGCAGGCATTCGCTGAGGAATGCCCCCAACCACTGCCAGCCCTCTCTGCCCACTGACACGCACTGACTTCAGCAGCTGCCCAGTACAGCCCCCGGAGCTGCTCTGCCAAACCCCCTGAAGGCTCCCCAACCTCAGAACCAGGGCAGGGGCCCCCCCACAGTGCAGACACACCACACTGCGGGCATTTCTCAAACAGGCTGAGAAGTGTAAGGACAGTTGTGTTAAAATATCACATTCCAGGTTAGAAACTGCACCCACTATGGGGGATGCAGCACAATGGAGGCAAGTTTGCATTAAACTATGGATGTATTCATATATATCTATGTATTTAATTGTGTACCGCTTCACACTAAACTAGATTAGCAATTCCCTTGTATGGAATTACTGTACAACTATTTTAAAAGCAAGAATGCAAGACTTATGGAAAAGTCTAAAGGACTGGCCAGTATGCATCAAGAGAAAAGGGCAGCCACGACAACACAAAGGAGCCCCAAAGACATTTCCATGAGCGGATGACAGCCCAGGGCCTCACATCCAAGGAGGTTATTTCACCACCTTAGAAATTTACTGTCTGTGAAGAATTTTGGAAGGATTTCATGGCAATCCCAAAAAGAACCCAAATGTCAACAACTATTTAATCACGCAGCACAGGCAGCCAAAAATCAGGAAAAACGATGTTTTCTGTAAGCAAGCATTCAATCTTCCCTAGGCAGACAGGGAAAAACTGCTTCTCAGGGATCCCCAGGCACTATGGACAGACACCCTCAAGCTGCTAATTAAAAAAAAGAAAAGAAAAGAAAAGAAAAAGAATAAGTCTATTCAACTGATTTAAAGATTTTAGTACAACAAAAATTTAACACCTTCAGTATAACTGAAAATGGGAAAGAATTATGGATAAGGCATGTGGGACTAGCAAACACAGTCAAGTTGCTGGAGAGGCAGGAGAACTTGTATGATACCATTTCCCATCCCAGCAGCATCTCCCAGGTAACTCTTAACAATTCAAACCCCTCGTGTCCTTGCAGGAATCCCTGGAACAGACTCCATGCCCACACAATGCTGGATCAAACACAACACAGCCAAGAAACCCTTACACCTTTGCTGTGCCTTAGATAATTTCTTCTCATTAAACTCTAATTCTTCTGATTTTTACACAGTTCAATCCAGTTCAGCTTCTGGCCATAGTTCCTACTCTTGCTAAAGAGATCCCGTGTGATGCAGCTTCCTCAAGGACAGCGAGGAGGTGCCTCAGCTGCCTTAGGCTTTCTGAGAGCTGGCATCTCAACTCCCCACTGCCCCCAGGGACAGGGAACCAGGAAACGGAGCAGCTCTACAATAACACACCATTGCCAGTGGAACCCAACTGGGCCTGTCTCTGGGGCTGCTCAGCAGTTTGCAAACGTTTTGAAGATGTAATTATGAGGAGCACTGGACAAAAACGTCTTTTTGACCTTTTTTCTGGACCCCATAAAGACATAAAAACATAATACATTTTCCTGTCATCTAGGAGATACGTTTCACCTCCTTAGGATAACACATTTAGGGTGGAGAGTAAAGGATTTTTTTCTGGCTTGGTTTGGGTTTTTATTTCCCTGTGCTGACTGGTTTTTGCTTCCTCACCAGACTGCCATCCAACATCGCCTCTAGCCTTTGCTCATGCAACCCTCTTGTTTCCCAGAGTGTAATTCCCATGTAACTTGTCACCATCCTCCTATTTACTCAGCAGGAGGGAAAGGAACGCCTTGGAAGGAGACAAGCATCTTCCCCATAAAAATGGCAATGCCATCTACATTTTGCCAGTTTTACCTTAACTGTCAGTCCTGCCCAAATATTTCCTCAGGACAGCTCAGTGCCCTGCCTAAACCCCACACCCATCCTATCCTCAGGCCCAGGATCTCCATTCTGCTCTTCTGGAAGCCAAAACTGGCCTAGTTCTGTTTTGGGGGACAGTCACATCCTGAGGAAAAGCTCTGTGAGCACTGAAAACAAAAGGATATTACGAAGTAGGTCTGTAATCAGAATTCTTCCCAAGCCCCTACATTCCTCTGCACAGCCTGGGCAGAGGCGCTGCCCCCACAGTCACCACCTCTGCTGCTGCACCCTCAGCACGAGCTCAGCACCCTGACCTGGAGTCTGCTCTCACATCTTCCTTTTGATGCTCTCAGTTTTAGATTAAAAATAAAATTAATGGACTACCACATTTGTCATAAATCAACACAAAAATACTGAGAAAAAGTGGCTCAGGAACAAGATAAGGAAAGATGCAATGAGGTGAGGACATTTATTAGGAATATCTCAATTTTCCACCAAATCTGCCGCTCACACTAGACCAGCATCACACTCAAAAAATTGTTTAGCTATGTCTGCAGGTCTTTTTTTTTTCTTTAACGAGAGAAGTGAGCACTGAAATCTTCCAGTACACTTGAAGCTAATCTACAGTAAGAACAGCATTCTGAATAAGAGGGTTCTGGGGGTTTTGTTTGGATCAAGGGCTTGTAATTTAAGTTACAAAGGTCTCTAGGCACGAATCACTGTGGCTGAGGCTGAATCCCATTATGGCACGGGATTTATTCTCTGGGAGTAATTAAAATAACATTCTTTTGAAATCATTACCACTTGGGCTAAGGACTGTAAAATCATGTCAAGTTTATAAAACATTTGAACTTATTTGAGAGAAGGAATGCTTAAGAAATTATGAAAGCAGATAACAGTTTGAAATGCTTTACATTTTTATCCCCCCTGGGCCTGGGAGAATAAAACCAGCCTGCAGACCATAACAGGTCGAGTCTTTTCCCAACCCCACACCAGAGCATGAACTACTAAGAAAATATTTTAAATTGACTTCTTGTTTGATATAATATGCTGAACTCTGAGGGGACAGAAATGGGAACACTCTTAGGGTTTAATTTCTTCAGCTTTTTTATCTCCCTGCCATGGAAGCTGCTTTCCCAAGGAAACAGTGAGTGCTCTGCTGACCCACCAGGCTCATTCACCTGCTGGCCCCACACCCACCCTTCTGCTGCCAGGCAGCTCAAGGCTTACTGACCATAAACTACAGCCTTCCCTTCCAGTACCAGGCTGGGTACTGAGGATCCAAGCTCCAGCTCCACGGGGCACACTCACGTATTTCTCAGCACAAACCCCTCCAGCTTTCCTGCTTGTTTTTCTCCATATTTACAGTCACCCCTCTGTCCAACTGAACTATGGGCTCCTCACCACCTTCTAACCCCCTGCCCATACACCCTTTCTTGCTTTCTGCCCTTTTTCCAAAATATTTCATAAATTCTAAACCTTTAACCAGAATTTAAATCTAAAAGGTTAATTGCATAGTTCACTATCCTTCAATTTTACCTTCTGACTTCAGTAAGTCAATTAACATTTAAAGAGCTGGTTGCACTAAGGTGCTGCAGATGCTCGGAGGCATCTTGTGATTCAAAACCACCCTAAACCTATTTTAAAAGCCTACTGCTCTCTGACAAATCATATTCCCAATCTGCTTTAGCAGCCACAGCTGACCTCCCACAATATGCAGTGATCATTTGATGATTCTTAAGGTATGTCCAGTCTGAGCTCCCACCTTGGACAACTCTTCTTTTCAAAGCACAAACATTCAAAGCCCACGTTCCCACAACTCTTTAAAGCCATTTTACTGAATTAGAACCAAGTTGTGTGGATGGGCTCTATTGCGGAATTAAGGGGAGTTACACTTAGTATGTTCTTCCACAACTTAAGTGTTTTTGATAGTGCTTTTTTGGCACCTACAATGTTACAGCACAAGAGAATCAGCACAGTAATTGCCCCTGCCATTTTTCATGGCTGTACTTTGTTAGCATTTCCTTACCGGTATCTATGAACAAATATACCCTTAAAAATAGAGTTCATCATATTCTCGATTTCATCTTGGTTTTCTTGTAGCTGCAAAAAAAACAAAACAAACCAAATAAATAAAATGCCATAGCTTGCTATAATTTCATGTTCTACAATTCCTGGTTGGGACACATTGGAAGACCATTGATGTCTTGCAAGTACTGTGGGAAGCTCACCTTGTGTCAGTGAATTTGTTAATACAACTTGGAATTAATTACAACATTCTCATACTGTCAGCTTTTGTACTACACCAAGTAAGTATGACTTAATTACACATAAATGCATCTTTTTTAATAAGATGGCACCAATTTTATACCCTCAGCTCTAGGAGCAGCCCTGCTCCCACACCCAGAGGCCTCGTTCTTAGGAAAACACCTCATAGGAGGTGTTTCCTATGTCCAAGCAGGGCCTCACGCTGTGTGGGAATGGAAATGTGCCCACATTCTCAGCACAAAAACCACAACAGAGCCTTGCTAGTACAGAGTGCACATATGTATAAAATAATGAAACTTGGATAATTATGGGTGTATATATTTAACAGACAAAATATTTCACAGCCAGAGGCATCTGCTTTGACTTCCTCCGTGGCAGGAGTTCATAAACACTTTCACCCAGGGGCTTATGTTTTTCAAGCCATGTTTATAAATATTTCTACAGTATCTCCCAGGTAAGAGCATAAATAGCTTGCAGAAATCAGTCAGTGAAGTCTCCCAGTTTCCTAAAATGTAAGGAAGTGCTGTCTCCACTTTGCACCTGGGGAAAACAAGGCACGAGGTATTTCTGACTGAACTGTCACAAATGTGCCAAAGAAATGAACTCCACAGTAAAAGGGATTCTGCACAAGGGGCAAAGCTGGTGCCCCCCAGCTCTGTGTACACCACAGGGCTCCACACAAAACAAGCATATCTAGACATGGCTCCTGGGAACAGCTCTACTTGCAGCATCAGCTCAACCCAAATATGCCCAGACTAAGTGCTTGCTCAAGAACTCATAACCCAAAGGAGAGCAGGAATTTCTAATCACTCCTCCACTGGATGACTCTGCAGGCAGGTAAACATCCCCAGGAACATGGGGGTGGAGGCACAGGGAGTGCAGTAAAACGGGGATGGGAATGAACCAAGGAGCCTCGGGAAGCTTTCTGAGAAACTGCCACGGCCCTGGCAGGGAAAGGGGAGCTCTCGGAGAACTTGTGCAGGAATCATTGGGACACAAACACAGCACAGAAGGGAGGTAGGACAGACTGGGCTTCCTGAGCCATGAGACAGTTGAGACACTGAAGATGACATTAGTTTGAGAGCAAAACAAAGCAGCACAAATGAAGGGACAGCATGGATGGCTTCCTCCCTCTTCTGTCCAAATTCACAGCTCACTATCACCGTGGTAAATCATCTGATCCGGGTCTCCAGGTGCTGGGGCAGAGCTGGTGTAGCAGCAGAATCAGCCATTCAGTAAGTCTGAGTGAGATCCCTTCTCCCTCTGTGTACTAACATTTAAAGGAACAATTCCCAGATGTATTTTAGATTCAGTAATGAATTTTCTGTGAAAGTGTAATTGCTTTTTACACTCTCAGCTTTTCTAGATCATGCACTTGAATCTGAGTGCTTAACTTCAGGTATGTTGAGAGAACATTTGTGTCTTGGGATTCCTGCTCTTACCAATGCAAAAGTGATTTAATACTCCCCACTCCTGAACCTAAGCAAGGGATGAGGGAAACACTCTCTTGTTGACTCTGCAGGCAGTTTCAGAAGCTCAAAAAGACATGTATGACAAGCAGGAGATCTGAATTCCTGGCACAGCTAGAACACAACTTGCTGTGTTTGGTGGCAGATTGCTCCATAAATCACCCAGCTGAGCTGAAAGGGCCCCTGACAAGGCAGAGCCCCACAAAGGCTCTGCCACCAGTGTGCAGGGGGTGACACGGCAAGGAACACTCGGCCACTGCTCCATGTCCTGTGCCTCAGACTCACCTGCCACACTCAGCCTGGGAGCTGCCCCTCTGGCACTTCAGGAAGATAAACACGTGTGGACGTGCTTAGGAGGGTTTATTATGATGGCACTTCATCAAAAGAATCGTCTAACAAAGTGCCAGCACAGAATATCATGTAAATTCAGCATAGTTAAACACTGGGAACACACAGCATTATGTCAGGAACTGCAATACAAACTCTGTTCCAGCTATTTTTCTTTCTAAAATGCTTTAACGCTGGCATTCAATTTGATGTTTCATTTAAAATATCTCTTGCATGCAGAGATTGTTCTTGCTTTGTGCCTTAATGCATGATTTTGAAGAGCTACGAAAACCAAATATAATTGTGTGAAGGATACAGGGGTAATGTGAAAATACCCAATTGTAATTATCCCCTGACAAAGACTATAAAGTCAAGCAATTCTGATTCAAAGTTTTACCTAAAAGAATCTAAGGTGCATACAGGGGAAGCACCCAGACATCCTTAATTACCACAGAGTAAAACTGTGGTGAGGAAATATATTCAAAACTAATATATTAAAAATAATAAAATCTAATCAAAGTCATACAAACTTCAATTTTTCAATCACTCTTACGAGTTTTACTTGGTATCTTTACAGATTATGGCTGTTTGGCTGTATATGTATTAATTTTCTAATTGTCATCTTTAGGTTTCTTTTAAGGACAACTCTAAACTGAAATTTCCTGTGATGTAACACTTTAAATTATTTATAGAGATGATTACAGCAACCTTCTAATGGTTTTTCTCCCCTAATGTCAGACTGGTACTTTCCAAAAGTGATTTTTATGTCTCCCCAGGTTCTTGTCCCTGGGCCCAGGTTCTACAGCCCCACTGCAGTGTTCCTTGAAAGCAGCTGCAGTTAAGAAGCACTAACGAGACACTGTGGAATCATTGCAGGGATCAGAGGGAGAAATGGGCAGTGCAGGGAGGGACAACGTGACGCTCTTGGCAGAATCTCTTTGCATAATCAGAACAGTCGCTTCTTACAACTTGAGGCTCTTGCTGCCTGGTCATAGAGAGAAGCCTGAGAACAGGAATCATCCTGTGAGTGCAGGACAGGCTCAAGCCCAGCTGAGTGTGGTCACACAGGATTTAATGTAGCCCAAGTAACAGGTCTGAGGTCACACAAACACCACTGCAGGACTCATCTGTTTCTCACTATGGCACTCGAGGCACAAACCACCCTGGGCTTTCTGCTGGAGGGAATGCACGTGAACAGGCAAAAAAAAAAAAAAAAAAATCCTCTTTTTCACTTGCCTCTTTTCTTTTCTGAAGCAGCAGCTCCAATCTCTCATTAGCTCTTTTGCCAATCATTTTGTTCCTCTCAGCTTCATACTGCCTCTGTGTATTATCCTGATGGATGCTCAGGTTTAAGGCAACATTCACAAGAGCAGTCATAAGCTTCATAGCTGCAAAGGCAAAAGACAGAACGTGAGTTTTGACCTGTAATCAGAGCTAAAAAACCCGTTTCCTCAGCATATCCACACTCTCAGAAAATAGCCACCTCCCCCTGGCACACAGCCATCTGCAAAGCAACCTCACCAATGGAGAAGAGAAGCTGCTCTGACTTATCCTGCTGCTGCTCAAAGCTGGTAACCCACAGGTGCTTCCTGCCTCAAGTTTCTCACTACAGTGAATAATTTCTCATTCAAATTGACTGGCACAGAGGAAAACTGAAAAAAGGACCTTAAAAACACTCCTTCCAGAACTGAAATTCTACAAGTAGATTTTCAGACACTTGATCAAGGCTGAGCTCCACGGCATCATGCAGACCTCTGCTCTGCAGAACAGCAGCATAATTACATGTGCAAACACAGCTGGAAGGAAATCTGCAGAATCAAAACAAAGCTCTCAAGCAAACAAATAAGTAAATGCCATGTACTGTCCCTGGTAAGAGCTGGAGATCTCTGGCAGGTCCTGCTCTCAGTGCAGTGTTAGGGGCAGGTGTAACTGATGAAAGAAGCAGCAGAGGCTGCAGTAACTGAAGTTACTTGTGATAATTTTGGCTTTAGCTTCAGCTTTTCCTTGCTCTAAGTTTCCAGCTACACAATCCATTCCAAACAATGGGAACTCCTTCCTTCCACAGAGCACAGGCCCTGGGCAATGTCTCAGACGTGTGGTGCTGTTTCCCGCCTTTGCAGTCAGGCCCCTCATACTTTCCAAACATCCCATGCAGGGATGGACCAACCAGTCCAAGGGAGAGAGTGCAGACCCCACTCCATAAACTCCTCCCTAGGAAACAATCAACCCCAACCTGAGCAAACAGCAAATCAAAATCCCCTGGAATTGCAGATGGCATCAGATGGAAAGGGATACAGTTTAAATAACAGGCAGGGATTTCCAGCAGGTTACCTGTGGCTCAAACAGTGCTCACCTTTGAATGCTCAACTTGTAGAGGAAACTCTAAACCTGGAAGGTTACACCTGCATAATTCAAGGTTTTACCAGCCCATTGCTAAGTAACATGAAGAGCACGAGGGGACAGGTTTACAAGAGTTCAGTCACTGTGAGCTGAAGGTTTGGGGTTTCCCTTTTAAAATCAAACTCCACTCCAGACTTGAGTTGTTTTTTCAGTATCAGTGGAAATCTGCCTCTTGCTTCAATTCATAAACAGTTACTTGTACAGAGCAATTCATCCACAGTCCAGCAGACACAGAGGTCTGATGAAATACACTCTAGAAAAGCCTATTCCTATCTAATGCTGCACCCAGGGCTCTCCTCAGATGCAGGTAGCTGCATGAAAAGTGTGGTTTGGCTGGAGCCCTTCACCCTTGGCCCAGTGCTCCCAAACCCAACACTTTTCCACGGTGAAGGTCAGACAGTAGACAGAAACTCTCTGATAATAAAATTGTCTTGACACTTCTTTAGAATGAATTTGTACTCTAAAATACAAAACTATTAAGACATTCTATACAACAAATGAACAACTGATAACAAAATAGAAGACATAAGCACAGCACTTCTGATTCTGGGAATCCACTGGAGGCCCCTGGGTATGACCAGAATCCCCGAGACTCAGTGCCCCACCTACTCCTTTCCAAACACTTTTTAGTTCAGCGTATTTTGAATACAGTTGTGCCACAGATGGTACCTGGATTTGCCCAAGCATTCCACAGTTGTAAGTGCTGGTCAAATCCACCCCAAAGCAGGAGGAACTGTCCCTGGACAGCAGGAGGAACTGCTGTGCAGCAGCTGTCCCTGAGCTCCCACTTACCAGCCAAGGTACTGGTGTGCCTGAAGGCCCTGACCTGGGAGTCAGAGAGGCCTGTGAGCAGGGAGATCACCGTGTCCATCATGTACTCATCGTAGATGATGCTGTACTGGCACTGCCGGATCAGGACCCCGATGAACTCGCAGAAGTTGGAGCGGAACTTCTTCCACTGGGGCCCGGGCATGGTGAGGGGATAGTCCCCACTGTCCTGCAGGGCAGGGAAAGGAAAACAGGCACTGTTAAGGGTCTGCCCACTTCTGTTATTTATATACAGTCTTTTCAGCTAAGTTTCTAAGCTTGTGTTCCTTCAAGCCAAGGGAGGACAACAAATAAACCCCACATTATTCTTCCATAAAAAGGGAACCTCACGGGCACGAAACCACTTTTGCAAAGGCTTTGTAACTGTTTTACACTTGCACTATTGGCTCTATGTAGTGCAAAATATGTATCCATCAATTCTTTTCCTCGTGTTCTGGGTTAGGAAGTGGGGGGAAAGGATGAGAAAGGAACATTTCCAATTATTTAAGGTCAGAACCTAAAGAAAGGCTTGTGTAATTGAAAGCTGTCACTCTCCAGCCCCACTTCAACTCCAGGTTAATACTCTATTCAACTGGCTGCCCCTCCCCACAAACTTTGCTTTGCTCAAGTTTACAGCTGAGATCTTTTCAGAAACTAAACACTGCCCTGGTTTAGCTTATAAACAAAGCCTTTTTCTAGAGGTAAAACTTGCCTTCTGACAGAAATGGAAATTTTACTAGAGATTCATCCACTCCATCTTCAAAAAGCTTTTAGGAGACTGGAGTAGGCATGTGAACAGTCAGTTCCTTCAACTCCTCTCCAAATCTGCCCTGCCTGTTCTCACTTCACTGCACAAACTGCATTTCAGTGAGACCACCCCCACAGAATTAGAAAATGCTTTTTTCCCCTTCCCTGAAAAAGCCTGATACCACCTCCCTGGCCACCTGGTTTGTAAGCTAATTCCAGATTATCCAAACCATCACAGCAATAATGCTCCAGCCTCAATCTCTCTGCCAGGATAAGAAGTCAGTAGGACCAAAGTTAAACCCATTTGTACGTATTTACTCTGTGTTTTTGTGTAGAACAAGCTCTTTGCTCCTCAGGACATGTCGTACTGCCCAGACTGAACCATCCAAAGGTGGTGATGTAGGTGTAGAGGAGCTGCAATCAAATAACCTTGTGCCTAAACTTTATAGATTACACTCCTCTGCAGCAAAAACCCTGCCCTTCAAATTGAATCAAACCCCACACACTTCAGCCATCCCAAAATGATCTGCTGGATCTCTGCACATGAACTCTGGTACATAATTACCCTTCCTAGAGGTGTGGGTATGCAGAGTTCTGGAGCAGCTCCTCAAGATCTCTAGGGCTGTGTGTAACTACTCACACGTGAGTGGTGTATTTTTACCTGCAATCACAAATCACACAACCCCTTCAAAAGGCCTCTGGAGACTGCCCCGAGAACATCTCACTCATCTGCTGAAGTGGGGAGAATGAACTTACAGTAAAACCAATTTAGTGGACCTTTTACTGTTGAGCGCTAAGAAAAATATGATACATTAGTGCCACTGATGTGATACTTGATGGTCCAACACTCAGAGAAGTCAAAGCAAACCAAGTCTTTGTTCACCTGCTAAACTCTAACACACTCTGAGTGCCTGTACTCATAAGCCAAGCACCAAATGGTGCAGCCAATTGATGTCCATGGAATTCCCCACCTCAAACTGAACCTGTGGCAGCAAGGAACAGTGATTTCCATCATTTAAATCCTGCACAGGCACTGCTCCACTCCTGAGGAAGAAAATCAATGCTTCAATCCCTGCCCTAAATGCAGCAACTCGGGCTCACAGCCAAAGGATTCCTGCAGCACGGATGGAACAACAGGACAGTTGGGATTTCTGGGCTACTGGCAGAGGTGTCACAGGGGGAACACCAGCAGATAATCCCAGAGTTCAAAACATTCACTGGGTTGCAGTTGATACTTTTATACTAAACCTCACAAATTCTCCCACAGATCCATTCCAGTGTTAAGGTAGAAGCTCCAGTTGTTAGAACTGTAAAAGCTCTGAGAAGTTTTAGGTAATGAAGAAAGAAAGTTCACGTGCCAGTCACTGTAACTCTCTGAGATTCTGCTTTTAGTACATTCGTGCCCTGAATAAGGAAGTGGTTGTTTCTCCTTTGAGAAAAAACTTTGAGAGTTTTTGGAAAGTGTTTTTTGAAAAACACTTTCTTCTATCAGCTGTGGGACAATCTCCCCTTGGGCAAAATCAAAGTTCTTTGGCCTTTGGACAGTGCACTGGTCCCTTATTTTGTATGATGGGACTGCACTACACACAATATCCAGTGCTGGTTTTTAAATGACACCAGTAAAATTTAAACTGCACCACTGCATTTTAGTAACTCTGGTTGGTGATGTTTTAACAAGCAAAAGTAATTTGGCCAGAATGCAGCACGAATTGATACAATCCTTTGGCTCATCACACTGGACAGCCTAATTTTATTCTCTGTCCATGAACACAAATGTTACTGAACCGCCTGAACAGCTGAGCACAGCAAAGGAGCACCCCCATGGCTGCAGTCAGGTGTTCAGTGAAACATCTTCCACAAGATGGAAATCAAGCAGAAGGAAATCCTGAGAAGGAGCAGTGCTTGTATTTACAGTTTTCCTGCTTAACTTTCTGAACCACAGCCTTGGCATTCCATTTAGAATTGATCAGACAGACACTGCTGTCCTACAGAAAATTCCTGTTTCAGCATTTGTTTTCCTCACTAAACAAAATGAACACTCAGAATATCTAGCTTTTTATATGTGAAAAATCAAAGGAAACACAGTTCAAAGACCTCAAAGTTAAAAAGCATTCACCATTAGGAACATGTTTGTTTGGACAGAAGACACAGTGTGATTTGTAACACGCTTGTTTTCAGCTAAATGCTTAGATCTTTTGAAAGAGTATTTCTTTCTGTATCACTGTTCCAGAATGGTTCTTTTCATGTCAAGTTCCCATTTGGTTTCAACTGCCATTTCAAATAAACAAACCAATAATCTGCACACAGCAAACACAGCCCAGTGGTGCAAATGCTGCAGTCCTGCCTCAGGGGTCTGCATGTCCCAGGGCCCTGGAGTTCCCTGTTCTGTGGTGGCCTTTCAGGATGTGAGTGGCAGGGCCCAGAATGCACCACAGTGGCAGTGGGATCAGCGCTCCACAGTTCCTCCTGCTGCTCCTCCCTGAGCTCCCCCTGATGCAGGATGGACACACAAACAGGGGTGTCCCCAAAGCCACACAGAGACCCAGGAGGGTCTCCACGGGTCCAGCCCAGGGCTCACACGGTCCCAGGTGGCTCTGTGACACCCTGGAATGAGCCTGCTCCCTGCCTTTGTGTGACACTGGACTTCTGACCTTAAACTGCCTAATGCCCAAATTTTCAGCACCAGTATTTCAGATCCAGGGCCTCCCCAACCCATGGCACTGACCTGTCAGGGTGAGTGACTGTAACCACCTCTCAAATGACTGTGTTACTTGTTGGTTGTTCATTATAAATAATACCATTTATCTCTTTCCTGCTGCCTTGTTATTCCTCATCCAACAGGTGAATTCTCTGCTTTGATTGTCAGTGCAATTTCCCATACTGAGATATTGCTTTCCCACTGTTTTTTTGCCCATTGCATTTTTAATTTAAGACACAAGCATACAGTAATATATTTCATGATGTTTAAAGAACTATTTGTATACTCTACCTCATCAAATTCTTCTGTCATTTTCCTTATTATTTCTGCATTTTGCATGTTCCTGAACATCTCAATTCTTACTGTACCTGTAACAAAGTGAAAGAGAAACAGAAATTAACACAACCCATTCTTGGAACGTCAAAGTCTCAACACTTTCCTGCTGCTAAAGGAACAGCTCAACAATACACACACGAGTATGACTGCAACAATAAACAACAATAACAGGGATGCTTTGAACAAGGCTGTCTCTTGAAGAAATGGGTCAAAAGAAACCATTTGTAATATGCTTTCAAGCCAGGAGTGAGTGGTATTTCCATCCTTTCCTCTTTGCAGCCAGCCAGTGCAATGCAGCGACAGCACCAGGGGCTCCTGTCCTGGCTGCAGTCACCAAGTGCTTTCATTTTGTGCACAAAATAAAAGGAAGGCCGTGTTCCAGTTCCAGCTGTGCCCTCTGTGTGCCCAGCCCCTGGATCCCAGATCCCAGGCTCTCCCTGCACACAGCCAATGGGTGTCACTGCCCAGCTGAGCCCCAGCACAGCTCATGGACTGAGCAAGTTCTGCACATCCCAGGGCTCCCAGGCCCAGCAGCAGCACCTGTGTCTGAGTCCCTCCTCCCTCTGGGTGCTGCATTCCCCCCCAGGTGCTCCAACAGCCAAGCTGATGGGATTAACTCTTCATTGGGAATCCAACCAAGCTTCCAAAATTGAAAATGTAACAACACAACGGCCATCAGTGACAATTCTTGTGAGATGATCCAAATCCAATCAGTACAAACAAAGTATTTTGACCCTTGGAGCTGGAGACTATCTAAATACCAAAGGAAACACAGAGACATCTTCTTTGCTGCTGCCTGATCTTCTCTTCGTCTCTTCACAATCTGCTTTTGTTAATGCAGGAAATGCAGAAAAATTAAGCGAACTGCAGAGCTACAAAATCCATCCCAACATCATTAACATCACAAAAGAGTAAGTCCCACAGCTTTTGCAGAAAGTTCAAATGGATTAATGATCCACTGCCTGGCTTCAAAAATTCAAACCCTAATAGAAACAGCTTAACAGCAAGCAGTATTATCCCTGTACAAAGGAGAAATAAGGATAGTTTAAACATACTGAATATTATATGAATGTTTTAATTCTGGTATTTTAGTCCTTGAGAAAGAAGCATTAGAAACATGCACATTTCAAAACACGCCAGCACAGTCAGAGCACACCAAGCCTCTGGATGTTACTGGGAGATTGGTTTACAACGCAAATTAACAAGTCACTTCTTGAATCGGTTTTGCTTCTTCATGAAAAAATATTTAATGGTTATCTATTTCACACTGGATAACACCGTCAACCTCAGTTCTGACAACGACAAATTTGTGCTTGGTATTTCCATATTATTAATAAACAATTAGTAATGCAATGTATCAATATAAAACCAGAAGCCCAAGAGAATACTGTCACGTGACCCTTGAAGGTGTTTTATCAGCTCAGAAATCACGTGTATATGCAGATAGATTTTAATATTTCCCCCACCACTGAGAGTTTTGGTTTTGATCAAGTGCAGCAGTTTCCCAATGTCTCAGTACTGACACAGACAGCTGTTCTTAGAACCCCCTCTCAGGTGTAGAAACCCCCCTTCTGTCCCTGCCTGCTTCATCTGCTGCTCTTCTCACTGGCAACACAACCCTCAGTCAGTCAGTGACCTCCAGACCTCTGTTATTTTACTGCTTTAGAGCCCTGATCCCAGTTTTATTCTTATCTGTTCATGACTTTTCTCAATACCTGAAACACTTCAGTTCCTGTGGGATCATGGCCAGGCTCCTCCCTTTATGTGCCCAGAACTGGCAGTGCCAGGCCACTGCCCAAGTGGGACTCCAGCTACAGCAGTGCCCAGTCATTTACACACTGCTAATGACACCCAGTGCCTCAGTGGGCCATGGGCTCCTGAGACCCAAACCCCTGCTGGCACTGAGCCCTACCCTCTGCAGCACACTAAGGGCACCACAGTCAGCCTGCAGCTCTGCCCTTTTAGTCATGGGAGCCACACTGCAAATTCATCCCTCCTCTTCGAGTGAGCTGCAAGAAAAGCAGTGGGGAAACTGCAGCTCAGGACTGAAGGCAACGGATATAAAATAAGCCCACGACCTCATGCCAAAGGAGGATTAATAGTAGGACGTTACATTCCTGTGACTGGTTAGCATCTCTCAACTACACAAATTGGAAAAACAGCAGAAAGATTTATAAAGGCATGGAGATGAAGACACCAGAAGATTTGCCCTGGAAAGGATCACATGAAAAAGGCAATGTGCTCTTTTGCATCAGCTCCAAGTTGTTGGTGGGGATCAGAGCACTGGGAATTAATGTGGGCTGCTGGAACTGCCAAGAGAGGGCAAGTTTAATAAAAATCTTGCAAGGATGGATGGTGATTACAGAACTGCTGGATGGATAGTATTTCTCTCCCTTGGTATCCTTTAATGTGCATCTCCTATACTTTTCTGCCCACTTGGAATCCAGGTCATAAGAAAGAATCCACTTCTCTAATGCCCATCAGAGCAGTTTTGGAAGTGGCAAGGGCAGACCTCCACGAGAAAGACAAACAAGGGCTGAAGTCAAAGCACCTGCAGCACGTTATTTCTCACTGCTCAGCCTCAGGAGGGCCGTGGAACCCTCCTGTAGCACTTCTGTTCCCAGAACAGAGCTGCCTGAAGCTCCCCACAAATTACTCAGGGCAGTAGAGAGGTTTGTTTTCTGTGCCTTGCTCATGCTCTGCGAACACTGCAGCAGCTCTTCCCTCACTGGAATCAACAGGCATTAATCATTAGTCCAAATGAAAGCACTATTAGCACAGTCAAAGCACATCCAAGGAGATGCTGAGACTCCTAAATCCCACCAGGGCTGCCCACTATCTGTGGATTTCTGTGCTGGAAAACTGGAAGTCTCTACTGGACCCAGAAGTCAGTACTCTAGAAAGAAGCCAACCTAAACACTTTGTTGAACTTCAGCACATGCAGGAATAGAAGAGGTTCTGGTGGTTTATTCCCCAAGTCTTCCTGCAGCAGGGAAGCCCTCTGCCCAAGCCCTGCTGCCAGCGAAGCAACATTCAACAGCCCGGGATTCCTCAGAGACACAGACCCAACTCATCCTCAGAGCAGCTTTCAACAGAGAACTCTTACTGAACAAAACAGCAACAACCCCAGTGGGGAAGTGACTACAGTCCTGTGCAATTACAGCCTTATCAAATAAGAATCACACACAAATGTTAAACAGAATTCTAATGGTTCACCTCAGTCTCCTCTCCTACAACAAAACTGAAACAAGTATCTGTCAGTTCCCAAAATATGTTTGAATGTGTTCTCTGAAATCTGTTTGCAATGTTAAGGCCTCACACACAGTTCACCCAGGGAAGGTGCCCTCTCCTGCTGCAGCCCAATTCTCTAACTGACCTTCTGATTATTCATTTACCTACCAAAGAGAATTTTGTTACCCTGAACAGTTTTGCATATTTGATGCATTGCTCTGGTTTTGTCCATCGTGTTTCTGCAATTCCTGAATCTTTAATAATTTGATTTTTCACATTCCATGATGGTTTTCAGACTGTTGCACAGCCCATGGCCAAAGCAAGTCATTCTCTTGCTATAATTCCCATTCCTCCTTTGCCTTGGGTTATTTTTCATGTGAGTCTAGAATAGAATTTTTGGAACAGGAAACTCTTATTTTTTTCCTTGGTTGCGTTTCCCACACAGAACTTACATATGTATTTTTCAGCACAGTCTCTTCTTCTTTTGAAGACCATTCTCACTGTTTTGCCCTTCATTTGGCTCTCACAGAGCCAGGAATATTATTATTCTAATGCCTAGGCTCCTTTCAATTGCCATTCCAATGATAAGAATTACCTCTGGAGAAGAGTGTTTTCCATTTGAGTTTTTCACCTTCTGTATCAAAACCGCGTCTCCACCAGTTATAAGAATTCACTAGAAACCCTTAACGTGCTCTCCTCTACTCCTTGATGACACTTCCCTGGTTTAACTCCCTTCATCTCCCAGCCCACTGCACCTCATGCACCTCAGTAGAGGGAGGGAGAGCAGCAGAGCAGCCTCTGTCTGGCCCTCCTGCCTCACTGGGTCACAGTACATGGCACAGATCCCAGGAGCCGTGCACAGCAGGAGCTCCGGCTGCCCTCCCTCCTGCCACTGCCAGGACGCCTTCAAGAAGGCTACTCTGGATTTCAGAACAAAGGGAAATGTTACACAGGACAAGGATTTAGTGGCAAGCTCCTTTTCCAGAATTTTCAGATCCCGATTTTGCTAAAAATCCTTCCCAGCAATCTGCTGGAATTGAAGACTAGGAACGTCACTACAGAGAACTCCATTAGGGTCACCACATTTATGGCCATGCGTCATTAAAGCCGAGAAAGCCTGAAAGGAAATGTTGACTCTGGAATGAAGAAACTTTGGTTGTTGGAGTCCTCCCACCATCCTAAAGAGCCCTTTGGTGCTCCCACTGCCTGACTGCCACCTCCAGCGCCACCCTGGGCCATTTCTGGCAAGGCACGCTTCACAAACCCCCTGCAGCTCCCCGAGGTACCACTAAGCAGATAAAAGTCATACAGTTATAAACACATGGGCATTTTCAAATTCCTATAATCGTTTCCCTCATATTTTCTTAAAGGAGTTGATATGTAGTAAGCACAGGCAAGAAAGTTTTCATACTAAAAGGCAACAAAGATCGCAAAAATGGTCAGTTTTCAGAACAGAATGAACCCATCAATAGATCTTTCTATGTAAAAGTGCTGATAAAGTAGGTTACACAGCAGATATAAGTGCTTTGAAAGACAGGGTAACAACGCAGCAGAACGCAGCAGACAGTTTGCTGGTGACAGAATTCTTCAGAATAGCCAGAATGACAGCTGAGAGCCAACACTGCCGAAAGATTTCAGAGCCATGAAACCCATAAAATGGCAAATAAAGCTCTTCAGGAAGAAAGCATGCTGATTCTACAGACTGCTAGTGGAAAAAGAAGGAGGCTCCATAATTTAGTGCATCAGAAATGGTACACTCCATGTGCTCAGGTTTTAAAAGTTTGATCAAGGAAACTTCCTT